AAATAAATAAATATATAAAAATTTAGTAATGGTTTTTTTTCAATAATCAGTTGAACTAATATTTAATATTTTAATTACTTTTACATCTGAAATTTCAAAAAAAAAAAAAATTATTGGAATTTTTTAATAATTAAAGAGAACTTTTAATACATTAGTCATTACTTTAAAATGCGCCTTATTTTCTTTACATTTTTTTTTTTTGAAAATAAATTAATGGACTTACATAATAAAATAAAAGGTGTACTTGATAGTTCTTGTACTTAAATATAGGATCTTAACAGTCGTTTGTTTTAAATATATAAAGTTATTTGTAATTTTTTAAAAGATATCATGAAACAGCGAATATTTCTGTAGCGTCCCATCAAGCTAACCATTTTGGTAGTTATTTCAATGTTTTTATTTGTCTGAGCAGGAATTGTTTAATATTTGTTCGGATCCTGGTATATCCTAAGGAAGTAATGAATTTTGAGTAAGTATTAATTATATCAAAAATGATCAAAAGTTGAAGGAGTAGAATTTAAGCCTCGTTTTATTTCATTATAATCGGCTTTCTCTTGCTATGAAGTCTGAGCAAATATAGACTTTATAATTTCTTTTTTTTTTCAAAACTGTTAAATAATTAAATAATTTCAAATTACCTTTGATCATAGCTATTTGTTAATTGATCTAGTATATGTAATATTACACAGAATATTGCGTACTGTGCGGTAAAATTATACAATACGGTACAAGGAAGGTTAACTGAAAAATCATAATAAAGTGAAATTAAAATAAAATATATGACAACCATTAATATCGGTTATATTTGCAAGATAATGGATTATATAATAATTTAAAAACATTACCAATAAGAAACAACAAAACCGCTTCTACAGTCAATGTTGGTTATCACGAGATAATATCACTGCGCCGCAAAAATGTTCGTTTTTCTGAACACATTCACCAGATCTTGTTGTATTACTTGACGTAGTTCCTACTTTTTTTTTGATGGTTAATATTAATGTGATGGTTAATATTAATGGATTGTTTTTTTTTTTACATCTTTAAGTCTTTATCCTTTCATTCATTGTATTACGTACCGTTATTTTTACTATTTTTTTTGTCAAATCGCGATCGCCAAGTTGAAAAATATAATGACGATTTGTTAAGTATACCAATTTCATCTGTAAACCGGAGCTCTTTTTTAATAAATGTAAATTTAGGAGAAAATCTGTATTGTGAAATTTTTTAAAAAAAGAAAAGTAGTTAAAAAAAAACTGTACCATTTTTATCAAATGTTACCGTATAACCAAATTTTTATGGTTATGTAATAATGTAAATCGTAATTCTATAACAAACCTTAAATTAAAATGGAATGATTTAAACATTCAAAAGATGTAAATATTTGGTAAATCTAAAAATCAAATATAAACGGAGAAAGATTATCAGTATCTTTTCTTCATTCATAACAAAACAAATAATTTAAGCATTGTTAAAAGAAAAAAAGAAATAAGATTAAAAGATAATAAAGATGCGCTTACTAAGAATATGATGTACAAATTAAAATAAATAATAAAAAATGAACATACAGAGCGCATGAAAAAGTACTAACCGTTGAATATATCTCGAACTGCAAAATAAAAGGAAAATATGAATAATAATTAATAATTAATTATAATAAATAAAAATAAATACACTGTGAAATTCGATATACCGGAACCATGATATAACGGAACATAAGTAAAGTCTTGATGTATCGGAATTGGGGTCTGGAACGGATGATCATAATATAACGAATTTCTCGATATAACGGATTTTTTGACAAATTTAACTAATGGAACGGATGGTTCCATTATATCGAATTTCGCTTCATAAAATCATAATAAACTTAAATCTTTGAATACATATCTTAATATTCGTATTGAATGAAGGTAAATAATCATTTATGGATCTAAAATTTGAAAGGAGAAATTTTTCGTAAGTATTCGATAATAAAATATATAAATCAATTTAATTATAAATCATCAGAACTATGAATCTCGAATTTCTTATTATTTAGGCGTTCCATAACAACACGTTCTTAGTATGATTAACACTTTAGCTCTCAATAACCATATTAGCGTTCTTTTACGTAAAAAAAATTCGATATCTTGTATATATATAAAGCGGTAAGAGTTAAACATAGAAGGGTATGATAATAAGGACTCTAATCTAACCCTAAACCTTGCATTCAAACATAAGCGAACTTCTAATTATCTAAATATGTAAATAATGCCATACCCTTTAAAAATTAATAAATTATAATTCATATTTACCTATATTTTTAAGGAGGTATTACCAAGAGATTTAATATGCAGCCTCTTTATTTGAGATAATTCTTGATAATTGAAGAATTTACGGACAAAAAATATAAAATATCGATACTTCACGTTTACCGGAACTGATCCAGTAAAATAAGAATCTCATAACTTGAATAATAAAATTATTATTTTTTTATTTAAGAATTGAGAAAATTACAGTATCTTTAAAACATAAATACATAAAACATACGACAGAATTATTTATAAATTGTTCAGGAAATCTATTTAAAAAAAGTGAAAATGAAAAAAAATAAGATAAAACTTTTATTGTCTAATATCTTGGAATTTTCTAAAAATGGAAAACATTAAAGTAACAGCTGATGATTTATATTATTACACTATTACACCGAATACCTATTTTGTCTCTAAATAAGATTATTATTAAAAAAAAATATAAAAACGTCATATTCGTATCTTTTGTGACGTAGTTTTTTAGTTATTTGAAAACGAAGTGATTTTCGTGCTACTTTTCGTTGGAACTTTTTGTGATACAACACGCAATATTCAAATTGTAAAAACAAAAACATGTAATAAAAAAAATATTGCCATTGTCTGACCAATAATGAATTAAGATATTATGCAAAACAATTAATATTCTATAAAGAAATTCATCTACGACTAAAATCTACAAAAATCTACATAACAACCAATTCGACAATTTTTTTGTCATACAAATATTTTTCGTTGTTTGAAAAAAAAACTTTAAAACGCGCTTGTATGCAACCCTACTTTTAAATAATTATAAACTTTATTCTATTATAATATCTTTAGAAGTTCATATCAATAGTTATTTATTGCATAGACAATAGACAAAGAATGAATATATGCAAGAAGACAAGGACTTGTATTATACAATCAGTTTTTTTTTCCATAAATGCGCGAAAGGCGATTTGATTTTCTTAAAAATTAACAAAATTAAATATTTCAATTAAAATTTAATGCGAGTTTGGGAAAAAATATTTATGTTGGCGTATTCAACATAAAAAAAATTGTGGATTTCACGCCACTATTGTTTCATAAAGTTTCATTAAATGAAAGAAAGTTGAAAACCGTACTGATTGATTATATTTGATATATATAAAAAATGTAAAAAAAAAAAAAAAAAAAAAAAAATTTATGCAAAAATCGAGTTAAAATTAAATAAAGATCGTCTTGCATGCATTTTTTTCAGATGCATGACTACTAAAGATAACGTTTCAAGCCAATTAGGTTGCAAATTACAAAAAAAAAAAAAATTGCGTTGACAATTAAAATTTACTTTTTTAGATATCGTATACATCGGAAAATAAGCAACCCCCGAAAATAAGCAACATGGGCGAAATTATGGCATTTTTTGGCCTGCATTACGTGCAAAAGTTGTGGCTTATTTTCGGATGAATACGGTATTATAACGAAAAGACAAATATAAAGTCACCAAATTTTTAGGTAAAAAAACCCTCATAATTTTTTAAAAATTATTAAAAAAAAAAATTTCACATATTTAATATTCTTATTAAAATAAATTTGCGACAACAAAAAATCCATAAATAACATTTATAATTCCAAGAAGTCAAACAACTAAAAATTCGTTCTTAATGAGTCGCGTCGAAGTAAAAACTTATTCGACTCATTCAAATTTCACAATACATTATTTATTGATTGTCGTCTTAGACAAATTTAACCACAAAACGGTTAATTATTGTTTGTTGACATTCCCCAACAAATTCAATCGCAACAATCGCAACTTTCTCAACAAATTTCTCAACAAATTTCTCAACAAATTCACGCTCCCTTTTTATAGTTTAGAGAAATTTCCGTGAAACATTAAAATTCATATATCTTGTCATTTTCTCATTTTCTTATTCCACACAAACTTTATTTAAAATCACGTGATATATTATAATTATCCGCAGCATAACGCGCACCTGAGTAAACAGGCCTTAAAGTTTAAACCTTTTTTTAAACAGGGCTTAAATAGGCCTTAAAGTTTAAATAAACTTTTAAGCAGGTTTTAAAGTTTAAATAGATCCTAAAGTTTAAATAAACTTTTAAGCAGGTCTTAAAGTTTAAATAAAGCTTTGAGGCCAATAGAAAAATTCATTGGTGTATACATAGTATTAATAGACTTTAATTGAATTTTTTTTCTGAGATTAGATTATTAATCATTACTAATCAGTAATGAAAAGGTTCCATTTAATCGCGGGTCGTGTTATTTTATACGTTCATTTTATATTATGGTGGTGTTTAGTAAAAAGTATTTGGTGCAATCATTTTTTTAGTTTTAATTTCATATTCATTTTTTTTATATATATTGATATTGTACTTTAACCTTGTAAATTTTCGATCGACAAGTAATAAACTATATCCGAACAACAATTGAAAAAAAGACAAAAAAGACATTAATAAGTAAAATTAAATTTCAAATTTGCAACCAAATATGAGAATATCTATATTAGGAAAAGAAGCCAAAATCAAATTCATTATAAATCACGAGATTATGGCTTGAAATGTGAATTCGCGTTTCTTAAGATGGTATATGTTAATCAGTTACATGATTTTTTGGGTTCACTAATCACTATTATGTCGATTATGTAAAAAAGCGCGTGAAATTTTGAAATTTGGAATATGTTGAATAACTTTATTATTTGAATTAGTTAATATATAATTATTTCTTTCTTTTAATCAAAATTATAAGTATAAAGAAATTGAACAACATTGTAATAATGTATTATTTATTACAATTTCTTTTTTAAATACTCAATACTACTTGCTCTTTTGCTAAATTTTAATTTTAATTTTTTTTTTTTTTTAACCCACATCGTCGGATTTAAAGAAACTGCCCAAAATTAATCAATTAATCTTGTCTAATCGGACTTTGCCCTTCCGGATTAATCTTATTTTGTATTTTTAGTAATTTAGTAAAATCTTCTGTTTGTGGATTTTTGAAAGGTTGTTCTAAATAATAATTAATAAATAATATTTTAAAATAAATTTTATGATGTTTAAAAATATTTAAAAATTATTATCTTACGGAGAATAAATGTTTGCTGTTGTCCATATGCAGGAGCAGTAGGTTGAAAATTATTTGGAATTACAAGTCCTGCTTCTATTTGCGAAATATTTTCTTGAACCCATCGTAATTCTTCTTCAATTTTTCTAATAATAAAAAGAATCATTATTAAAAATTTTAACGTTTATTAAACTATTTATATTATTAAATTTTACTTTTGAATTTCATTGTCCGGAGGTAATGGTTTTGCGTTTGAAGATAATGTGAGATATTCTTGTGTTGCTTTTGTAATTGCTAGCCATTCCTCATCATAGCTAAATTCAAACTTTCCATTTGCCTCAGGAAAATCAATAATCTAAAAAAATAAATATCTAATTATTTTACGTTATTGTATCGATATAAATCACCTTTGGATAATTAATGACCTGTAAAAAATCGCGGTCGGGTAAACATTTATCAAGTGCTAGAAATTTTGTACAGGGAATCTGTTCTTTCTTTTCATCTTCTATTATATAATCTTGTAAAGTCTTTTCATTATTAGATTCTTTATTCTTCTCCTCCTGATTTACACCATCTTTAAGATCAATGTTAATTTCATCTAGATTATTGAGTTCCTCATCAAAATCAATGTTAATCTCATCTGGATTCTCAACTAATGTTGAACTCATTTCCTTACTTTCAGAATAAGATGTTGTTCTTTCATCATGATATACAACAGCAGAAAATTTCACATGAAGATGTGCCGAAAACCAGTATTTTGGCTTTAATTTAAATAATAATTCATCACAAGCTATACTTCCAAGTTTACCTGTTGCAATCTATAAATACAAAGTTTCAAGTTTATATAATTTATACGATTGTATTATGTATGTAAATAATTGAAACAAACTTACATCGGGACCAAAAAATGGTTTAGTTTTGAGAAGCTTATTCACATTTCCAAAATTTGTGATTCCTGTAGGCCAATCATGTGATAAAAATATGTCTAAGGGTTGCCTAATCTGATTCATTTATGAATTTTGTTAGAAGAGATTTATAAGTATTTAACTTACGAAACGAATTATATGAATACCTGAGCTAGTTTATAAACATCGTATTTTCTCGTATGATAAGCACTCCTAACTGTTGATTCAGTATATGGAAGAGTTTCAAAATGACCTAATAAATGATAAAATTAAATTTATTAAAATAACCAATTTCCTCATATTTAAAATAAAATTTTCGTACCAAAGTTATAATTCCGATGATTATATATTCCGGACATTCCCCCTATTCTTAAGCCACCAAAATTTACCACGCCGGCGTATCCAAGGAAGTAAATATTTTCGCACACCCATCCACCATGATATCTATTATAATAAACCAGGTTAAAATGTATAACTTTTTAAATTAAACTTATTATGATTAAGTCATCATTCTTACAATTCCCATAAATAACTTATGACTTCATGATTTCCACCAATAAATAAAGTCGGATAAGGTGCTTTGAGTTCTCCAGTATAATATTTATAAAACGAACCTAATGTTCGATATTTGGCCGGCACTGATAATGATTTAAAATCTTCCGTGTTGCGTATAGCCTAATAATAATGTCGAAATTGATTACTTAAACAAGAAAAAAATTTAGATGTAATAGATTTAAAAAATCTTCCAACCTGAAAATCACCACAAATCAACAATAAGTCGATTTTTATATTTTCGACACTTTCGATATGTTCCAAAGCTTTGTATATCTCTTCTAGTTTATTATGACAGCAGCCTTCAATAGCGACCTAAAACGTTAGATATAATTAAACCCGTTTGTATGATGATAATGAAAATTCTTTCTTCATAAACTTACTTTCATTTTTTCGTATAATAAATTGTAACTTTTGTAGGAAAGAAATTGTGATCAAGTTGATCATTTGAGATAGTCAATTTAATATCGTCATGAATCATGATTGTCATAATTAATCACAATGATCGTCAATCTGATGATATAAGATAACCTGAGAGATCGATTTTTAGAAATATTTATTTTTTTGACAACAATATAGACAATAATGTCAAAAGACCTCGATATTGTTGTATTTGGTGCAACAGGTGAGTTGTATAAAATGTAATTTAATTTTTTTCCCTTACGTTTGCTTTTTTAACATAATAATAAGTTTATAATAATTTATTTCGTATAATAAAGGCTTCACTGGCAGATTTGTTGTTGAGGAAATATGTCGCACAGCAAAAGAAGTACATAAACTTAAATGGGCAATATCTGGTCGTTCCGAACAACGACTTCTCGAGGTTGCGAATATAATAAGCATATCTAATAATAATAATGTACGTCAACCGGAAGTTATTGTGGCTGACGTTTCCAATCCAGAAACATTACATTCATTGGCTAAGAGAGCTAAAGTTTTCATTGATTGCGTTGGGCCCTTTCGTTTATATGGTGAACCTGTTGTGAGAATCTGCATAGAAAACAACACGGATTATATTGATATATCAGGTAAATATAATTGATATAAAATTTAAAAATTTATCTAATTAATTAATATTTTAATTCTCAAAGGTGAAGTTGAATATATTGAACGAATTCAGTTAACATATGATGACTCTGCAAGATCAAAAAATGTATCCATTATTCCTGCTTGTGGTTATGATAGTGTATGTATTCAAATCCAAATTTGTAATTATATATATATATTTTGTATGCATAATTAATAAATTTGGTTTCTTTTTTTAAGATTCCTGCGGATATGGGTCTACTATTTACTAAACAGCAGCTAGATGTTAAGGGTGCAATTCCCTCTCAAATCGAAATACTTTCCGGATTTCGTGCAGGCAGTGCTGGAATGCGCGCAAATTACGGAACCTATGCTTCACTTGGTAAATTTTTTTTTTTTACTGTTGTTTCTTTTTTAAAGTATTAATTTATGAAGCCAATTTTCTTATTCATAATCAGTATATAGCATTTCTAATGTTAATAGCCTTCGTGAGCTAAGAAAACATGCTAACCGTCCAATCGTATCTAAAATTGGTCCTAAACTTAACTTGTTACCGTCTAGAAAATTTGATAATCGCGTTAATGGATATATTATTCCTTCTATCACTACTGATCACTCTATTTTAAAACTAGGACAACAATTAGATATTAAGTTTAATACTGGTGTTCTTCCTGCTCAAATTTCTTCGTATCTTGTCTTCAACAGGTTCAGATATATTGCAATGATGATGCTTGGTGGTTCAATGTTTAAATTTTTAACAAAATATGAATGGGGAAGAAATTTACTTCTTAAATACCCAAAATTCTTTAGTTTCGGTAATAATAATAATAATTTTTCATTCATTATGTTTGATTATTTCATTCATTAATTATTTTCTAATTTTAATTTTATTTTAGGACTTTTTTCAAAAGATGGACCTACACTTGAACAAATTCAACAGTGTAGCTTTTATCATCGTTTTTATGCTAAAGGAATTTCTAAAAATAAATTGAATAATGAAGATATGGAATTAGTTAAATCTATTAATTCTATAGAGCATGACAAACCTTTATCTATATTATCTCATTTACAACCAGATATTGAAATTGTAACTGAAGTCAAAGGGCCTGAAGCGGCTTATGTAACAACTCCGATCACAGTTGTTCAATGTGCTTATACTTTATTAAAAGAAAAACCAAATATTCCTAATGGTGTTTGTACGCCAAGTGTTGCATTTGGAAAAACTTCTTTATTGCAAAGACTGAAGGATAATGGGATTGAATTCAATGTAGTTGAAGGTCAATTTTATTAGGAAATATGAAAATTCATATTAAGGAAAATTCATATAATCTATTATAATTTAATAATATTATATATTAAAGTATTGTCAAAAAAAATGTATATTATTATTTGTAAATATGTAACAACACTTTTTGAAGAATTAAAAATAATTTGTTTTATTTTGTAATTTATTTATATAATAATGAAATATGTTGTATTTATATACAATTAACATTGAAATTTTATGTGAAAAATTGATTTATATAATTAATTTAGCATGTATAAAATATAGAAAATATATATTTAGCATTAAGATTTTAGCTTAACTAAATAAAAAATGCATTTGTAAAGGGTATACATTTATATTTTATTACAATTGTTAATTTTAATCTTGTTTGAATATTAGAACATTATTGTAATATTCCATAATTTTGTAATACATTTAATACTTAATATACAATTTTTTTTAATAATATAATATAATAAAATTTAATAATTTGATTAATATAAAATAAAAATTTTAAAAGTATTTATTGCTATTTTAAATTAGTTAATCATATTATTTATTAATTAAAAAAAATTAAAAATACTATAATACTAAAAAATAAAAAATTATTAAAATTTAAAATAAAATTTCAGAGTTTAATTAGTAAATCTTTTGCAGATAAAAAATTATTTCAAATTTTACAATGAAGGAACTGACTATGTACCTTCCTTTATCCTAAATAAAATGTTGTTGCACTGCTAATCTTATTTCTTACAATAGGTAATACAATCAGAGTGTTTAGAAAAATGGGTCAAAATATACTGGAAGGAATTTTTAAAGAACATAAAAAGGTAATACATATAACAATATATTAAACTTTAGGGTTTATATTATTTATATATTAAATATTTTTTTAAATAATTACATTTTTATATATATATATATTTTTTAATTATCTTCAAAAAGAATAGCTATGCTTTTATTAATACTGATGACTAGATATATACTACAAAATAAAGAATTATTTTCTATCTTATAAAGTATCAGATTGCAGTATAAAATATATTCTATAAATATATTAAACTTTTTAAAATTCAATTTTTATAATATTATTTTTGAATATTTAAATTTTTATTATTATTTATTTTATTTATTTATTAATATTTTACTTCCTTTTATATAATTATATCATATAAAATTTCCCTTCATAAACACATTATATATATTTTAGCCAAATATACTAACAAACATGTTAAAAAAACCCTTTTTATAGTTATTTTTTTTTATAATTATACCTTTTTTTTTCAGGTTAAGAAGTATAATTATAAAGAAAATTGATTATATTAAGTTTTTTACAAGTTTATTAATTTAGAATAAAGTAAAAGACTATATATTATATATATACTATTAGTTTTACAAATATTCTATTATCAGTTTATTTAATTACTACTTTTTTGATTAAATAACTAATATATTATTATATAATTAATAAATAATTTAATTATTTTTGTCAATAGCATTAGAAAAAACAAAACAATACATAAATCAATTTATTAAAAAAGGAAATAGGGTACTTTGGAAGGTATATAATAACACAAAATTGTACAAATACAACATAACCTCTTTTTTTTTCTTCTTTTAGAGGGTAGTGAAAGCATTTACTTAAGCCTTACAATATAATGATTTTATATAATTCAATAGCTACTATTGAAGGATATAGATGAATTTTATAGGGTGATGGTAGGGCACAGGAGCAATCTTAAGGATGGGGAACTGGTTTGGAGTTTTAATAAATTAGTTATATAACAGATGCTTTTGTATCATTACATATAATTAATAAACTCACAAATTGCACTACCTTAGGAAAAAAAAAAAAAATTTAATTATTTTTTACTTTAGATTTAATAATAATTTTCATTTCTAAATATATAAAAGTAATTTTTTAGTATAATAAATTTATATTAAGATAAATTATTATTTAAATTTTATTTTAAATTTTATTTAATTTTTTTAAATTTATATAATAAGAATTGTAAAACTTTATTAAATCTGTATAATGAAATTTTATTAATATATTTAGAAATTTTTTACAAAATTTTTTTTTTTAAAATAAAACTTTTTATATTATATTTTTCTTATTAAAACTTATTTTATACAAGATTATTGTTTACAATAAAAAATAAGTTTTAAAAAAAAATTCAAATTTTAATAAAAATTATGAATATTAGTATTTTTGATATTTTTAATATTTTATGATTTAAAGAATAAGTATTAATATTAAATTTTTCTTAGAATAAAAAAACTTTAAATTAATTTTATATAAAAAAAAGTTTTTTATAAAATATTATATTTTTATTAAAAAATTATTAAAAATATTTTTAAATTTTATAAATAAAGTGTTGTTAATCTTAATTAAAAAGAAAATTATTGGATAAGAAATTATATTAATTCTGGTATAAGTTAGTTTGAAGCTTAACTAGAAATCATTATATTTTTAATTAATAAATTAATTTATTTACCGTACAATTTTGATTAAAAATTATATAGATGTATAATTTTTTTTTATTATTATAATAATATTACTACTAATAATTTTAAAAAAACTTGCTAAAAAATTAAATTTATTTTATATATATAGAAGTAGCATTTTATTTCCAATTTAAAAATTCCAATAATATTATTGGCATATTTTGTATAAATGGCCTTTATTTATTTCACTAATTTCTATAAATTATTTTGCCAATTAGAATTATTTTTTTTTTTCAATATATTGAATAATTTAACCTATTTTCTTTATTTTCATTTATTCCACAATTTTATAGTACTTTTTTTTTAATATTAAATCATCCTTTATTATTTTATACTTGATACTTTAATTGAATTATAACGAAAATTCAGTTATAGTCCAATCCAACTTGATCTACCCCCTACATTTTGTATGAAGGAGGATCCAAATGATGTATCTACACACCATTCGTACCATACTTTTTGTGAACTTGATAATCTCCAAAAATGAATATCTATAGTTGAATTTGAAGGCAAATAAATTGGTGTCTACAAAAAATATTATAATTGATAAGTAAAATATTGAAAAAGATAAATATATAATTTCGTATTATTGTCATACCTTTAGAGGAAAAAATATTGGAAACCAACTAAACATTCCTTCGGAATGTGTTTCTGGAAGAATACTCATTATGATATTTTTATATAATACTGATTCAAAATATCCTGCGATGCCATGTAATATTCCACCATTTTTTACATTAAAAGTAATTTTCGAGTATCTTGTGTTGTGATAGTTATTTATAGGATTTCCTGTAATCAAATATTATATATTAGCTTAAAATTAATCTAAAGTCTACGTTATGTTAAGAACTCCCTACCTTCATTATCTATTATCATTAATCCATTTGGATGCTCAAATTTCCAAATTTCTTGAGGTTTTGCTAATATAGCAACAGATTGAAGCATTACAACGTAGGGAGTCTCGAAATGTGTGAGATCTTTATATGCAGAAACTTCACTATGAAGCTTCGATGATGAAAGGGGAGAAATAAATGTTGAATAGGAAGACGGAATTGATATCCCATCAGCTAATTAAATAATATTCTTGGTAAATATTTCTTATATAATAATTAATTACAAGAATGAAAGATAATCATTTTACAAATTAACTACATTTTAAGAATTTCTGCGCGCCATCTAAGCATTCTGGTGACAATTCATTATCACCAAATGAACCTAGAAGTTCACTGACAAGTATATCAGCCTAAAAATTGTAGTAAATATTAAAAGGTGCAATATTGATAAGAATCAATACTATTATAAAAAATTCTATGGTCTTACCTGTTCAGGAGATTTCCATTTACGCATATCACCAAATACAATCGTCACCTTATCACCCCATTCTTGAGATTTCATGTTCTGCAATCTAAATTCAGGTAGAAAATTAATTAATTAAATTAATTAACAATAAAACTATATTATCAACTAAAGCTTATAAATTATATAAAAACATACGTAACAAATGCATTTGGATTTTTTTCAACAGCATATATTCGTACATTTCGCTTTGCTTTCTCAGCCGCTTGTAAACTTCTTGTAACTAGGGGACCACGACCAGCACCAACTACCATAATAACACTAACAAGATTATAAAGTTAGTTAACAAAATTATAAAAGACTTTATGAGATATAAATATCTTACGTTATTTGGTTTGATTCGGGCGCAACACGATCAAGAAGAGCATGATATACAGCCTGTGGATAAAAATTAGTTAACAAACTGTATTTGTTATAATTAATAAAAAAAAATACTTTATATTAATTGTTAAAAGATGGAATAATCTTTTACAAATAAAACACACAAATCTCATACCTTCTCGTAAAGTGCATATTTCACTGGGTCTTTTTCGAATATTTCATATGTGGAAGATTCTAAATTTTCCATTAATGGCTATATTATAATGTAGATAATTATTAATCTTTTTATTTTAATTGCAATATAATACAATCTCAAATCAAATATTCACACCGGGTATTTTTATTATTAAGTAATTAAATAAATATATACAATCATTATTATTTATACCTACCTGTAAAGGTGATTGTAGGAAATCTTGGTATCCGCTAGCAAATTGCTCTATTTGATCAAGTTCAGGCATTGTGCGATTTAAATGTCGTATATATTCCTGATATGAGGCAAACCCACCATTCTGATGTTTATTAGTCATGTCGTCGAAAATAACAAAATTTGGCTTATTCTAATGATAATGATTTATAATTTGTCAAAAATGAAATATTCATAACAAGGTAAATAATATTGGAATACAAAATACAAACTTTAATTAATTTCTTAACAAATGTTTGATGCTTTTTACTCAATACGGGATAACCCTTAGCATTGGTTAAAAATATTTTCGTGGGCAATATTACAGCCTTAATGGGTTCAGCAAACCATCTTTCAAGATAAACTTCGTCAGGGAGATCTACTGGCAATTCCAGTGCTATTCGTAGTAAACAAAGTAAACAGATAAGTTTAGGGGAAACAGTGATGATAATGAGTTCAAATCTTACCAACAGACAATTTAGAATGATTCTCGCAAAACGTCCTAAGCTTGTTCCAACGTTCCCACATTTCAATCTCATTTGAGCAGGACATATCTTCATTGACTAAAGGTATCCTCATCCAAACCTAGAAAAAAATAAATATGAAATTACTGAATTGTCTTTCTTGTTTAAGGAGAATATCTCCAAGAGAAGTTTCTGAACAAACATGCGTGTAAGTCAAACTTCCAAGAATTCTATTTAAACTTCTTGCATAATTAGCAAAAGAATTTGTTGGTGTTGGTGCTAAAATAGCTGTAAAACCTAAATGTGACACCCATGATATTTGTTGATTTAAAGCCTAATTAATGGAAAATAAAAATATTAATTACTATAAAAAATCAATGATAACCACATAAATGCATTATAGACTAATTTACTATTTCAGAATTTGTTCTAACTCGATGATTCGAAGAATCTAAGTCGATCCATTCTGAAATTTTCCCAACTAAATAATCTGTATGTTCTAAAATTGCAACACGTTAGCAAATTTGAATTTTGATAAAAATTTTGATAAAAGTTTCGATAAAATAAATTACCATTATCCTTTATGATCAAATCATCTTTTAAAAACGGATGCCCTTTTCTCCATTCTTCCATATGTTGTTTATCATTGTTAAATGTGTTATCATTAACTTGCATGTCATTAATGTCTTTATCAACTTGGTCAAACAAAAATCGTTTATAATTAGAATGAGTTATAGGAAGTATTATAAAATCATGACCAGTATCTTTGGCTGAAGTAACAGATAAAGTGATATCACAATTTTCCTGACCATAAAAAGCACCAATAGCAACACGAGGCACATTCTTGTTAATATAATTTGCCATAACTTCGAAGAAAAAGTTAAAAATTTTTGCAAATGCTTTGTTTCCCTTTATGGAACTTAAAACAGTTGTCTACGTAATCAAATTTTCTATGCCGTCATCAAACACGTGCTGATCAAATCATCATATACCTGACTATATTCTCTTTCAACAATTTCAACTTAATACTAAATCTAATGGATCCCGTAGATAGTTTTAAATTACTGCTAACGGAAACTATTGAGGCTCGTGAAAAAAATGCTGAGCGGGTATTTAGAAATAACATTTAGTACTGTAAAAAAAAAATATGAAAATTTACGCGAAAGTCTTTTTTTATTTATTTAATCAAGGAATCAAGTCAATCAGATCCATTAGAGGGTTTATTTAATGGGTATTTATTCAGACATATGATCATTTATACAAAATTATTAAATATTAATTAATAATTCGATATATAGCATTTTTGATTCGCCAGTGAAGAAACTGAAGAAGGAGAAAAAATGCCAAATAAATCCTGAAGAAGGGCTGGAATTGGAACAATCTGATACAATTACCAAACTAGTTACAGAGTTTTATAGGGCATCTTCGGCTGTTGGGAATACGGTATTTAAGAATAATAATTAATACGATGAAATATTATAATATCAGAAATAATGACCAACGATTTATAACAATAACCAGGGCGAGATTATAAATTATATTGTTAGTCTACTTGGGCCTTCGTGGCAACGCATTTGTCTCATTTTATCATTATTTGGAGCTTTAATAACAGACTCCCCTACAACATATGGATTGTTATTGGGACTTGGTGGTGATATTTCGAACCCATCATCTGTTCTTCAACCTGCTCTTTCAGTTCCCATTCCAGCAATTTTCGAATACCTTACAGCGCAACTTAACATTTCTTGTCAAGAGTTATGGAATGGAATCCTGTCTTTTATGATTATAATTATCCGACAATATCCACATGCAATGATTGAGATTTCGTATTTGGCTACAGAAATCATAAAGAACATTTTAAAGCAAATTGAATCACTTAAGGATAATCTCACAAAAACAGAACTTGATTGTGTAAAAAAAGGAAAGGAAGTTATTGATATATTTCTAAATGGAAAAGATTGTGGAGGAGTGGGTTGTGTATCACATTATCAGATTATTGAACAAGTGAGATATTTATAATTAGCAATATTATTTGTTTTATTCTTATAATAATACATTATTTGAAATTTTCATTGAAGATACAAGAACTATATGGACCGCCCGTAAGAGGACAATTCATAAAGGTTCATTGGACGTTGGAGAATTTTATTAATGAATTATCACAACGTCGAAGGCGTCTTGCCTTCTTAATGATACCTCCTGGTATTTTGACATTTTAATTTAATCAATGAATTGATTGCTTTGTAATCTAATTTAATCTATTTATAGATGCTGCATGGCCTTTGGTTTCACATTACAGGTTTTTTACTTAAAATTAATAATAATAATTAATTTAATTATTATAATTATTTTACTGATATTGATTTTTTAACATAATTTAGCCGTTCTCATGAACATATTGACTTTTCAAAATTAGGAGGTTATCAACTATTTCAATATGATTATGTAGGTTGTTATTAAATAGAAAAATTACCTTCGATTAATATATATCGACTAATTAATTATATATATATAAATAGGAACAGTTTACAAAAGAAGGTCAAGCAACAAGTCATTTTTCAAAATTTCGAGATATGTTTTTTCAACGTGCTCCTATTGAAGAAGTCGAGGCAATGATAAAGGACGTAAAGCTGACTTCTGTTGGATTAGAACCTATGCGTGCAGCTTTTTTTACTAAAGTTCATGATGTTATTAAGTTAGTGCAAAGTCATCCAAATTTTAGTGAACTTAGACGGGGTTCGTATAATGATTATTTATCTATTTTATATTGAAATAAAATAACTGAATTGTAAGAATTTTAATTATAAGATTTAGAATCTTCAAGTGATGAAATAAAAGATACATTAATTCCTGAAAATTTGGATTTTTGGGAACTTATTATTGAACTTGGAGATCAATTATATGGACTAGTTGCTTCAGAGTAAGTGTAAAAGAAGACCTTAATTATTGCTGCGAATTATTGTTAATTAGTTGATTTTGGATATTTAGATACATCAAGTATGAGGAAGTCTTGCAAGAATTTCATCATATGGTTTACCCTAAAAGCGGAGAAAATTTTATAAATCGGCAAAATACTTTGTCCAAGGATAATACATTAATTTGGTTACTGCTACAACTTTTCCGTAAATTTTTATCCAATAATTCTATATATCTTTTTCGATTACAATTTACTTAATTTAATTTTAAAAATTAAATTTAGATATTGAAAGGATTGGAACCGAAATTATTACCAAGGATCTTGCTAATGATGAAAGGTTGTTCAGTATGCTTATTCAGTTATATAATGACCAACAAATTATGTCAGTGGACGCTTTTTATTTGAGGGATTTATCTTTGCAATGTGTGGTAAGTTTTAATGACAGAAATACTAAACTCTCATTGCTTCTATTTAACATTATTTTCTAACTTTATAAAGATAGGTCATCAAGGACATGCAATAAGGGATAGAAATAACTTAAAATCCAGATATCCTCGACTTAGCGGTGTTTTAGCTCACTATCAATCACTACGTCGTTTACAACCCTATTTTCAAAATGTATATAAAAGTAAGTATATTACGGTTCCGTTTATATAATTTGTTTATATAATATTTAACTAGTTGCTTAAATTTTAGATAATGTCACAACGCATGATCTTTTTAAAGATTTGCCGATACAAGAAACAATAAAGATTGCTATCATCAGTCAACTTACTCAAAATCTCGTTGCTGATACTTTATATGTCCATTCAGTTCCTGATAAATTAATGGATGTTGGTATACTTGGATTTCCAGAGGCAAAATTCGCGCAAGGTGGAAATGTTACTTATAAATTATGTGATTTTATTAATATACACAATAAGCACAGGTAAATTATATTATGATTGTTATATTGTTATTCTTTCTGATCAAAGCCAAACATCTTATATTTGATAAAAAATTTTTCAGACTTGAACAACTCATTTATAAGATGATGCTTGGTGACAAAATAACATTCAATTACCCCGCTGAGGATCAAAAAATAACCTGTGTATCGCCTTACACTTTGGATGTAGTTTACAAAATTGTATATAGTGCTCCTTGGTCGTAAGTTAATTGTCAATTATATATTAGAAGTTGATCCGATTATTTTTATAATTAATCGTTGTTTAATATATTTTTATTAGACTTGAGCTTATGGTTAAAACGATTCTTGAAAAATTCAAAAAAGTTGATAAATTATTAAAAAGTCATGCAGAAAACAATTTAAAGACAGAAGCATTACCAGAACAGTCTTTAAGATGGCAACATACTATTTTGCAATTATTCTGCCATCGATTTCTCCGATTCTTAAAATATTCCTCTAAAGCTCCTGATCTTTTACATTATATAAAACATTCAGTATCCTATTTGGATCATCGACAGACTTATCGTGATGCTGAAATGTTTGCTATACACATTATGGTAAATTATACAAATAAAAAACTGGTTAGAGTTTATATTAAACTATTAAGATAATGTTATTATTTTTAGATGATACAAACAGACATCAAGTTCATAAAATCTATAGAAGATCCGAAAAGGGACAATCCTACTTGGTTTCCAGAATCAGAATTATTGGCAAGATATATGATTTTTACTTTGGCTAGATTAATTAAATTTAGAGGACTTGACAACATGAAACTCGAAATCATTCAGGAGCTTCTGCGAAATATATACGTTCAGCCATTAGAATGGTCAGTTACAACTTTAAATTATTTTCCTGAACCTTTATATAGTTTCTTTTTACAACAAGAAGAGTCAGCGAAAGTTCCTTCTGTATCTGATAAAGATGTAAGTAAAATATGAAAATTTCTTTTATTTTGTAACCTTGCTAAATATTTAGAGTATACGTCTGATTTATAATTGATTTAAACAGATTAATGCAGTTTTGTCAATAGGAAACTTATTTAAATTGGTTATGGATGAAAAATTGGCATCAGAAGATGAAGCATCGTTACAGGAATATTATTCTAAACTCGAAAATCAATCAATATTTCTATGTTCCTTGTGGAAAATTGGATGCTATAGTAAAAGCTTAAATCCAGATATGATGAGCAGTAAAGTTTCCCCGTTTAAATATTAATTTACAACGTTCTTTTAAGTGGATTTAACTTAATTATACTATCGTTTTTTAGCTTTAAGGAAGGTGCTATTACAATTTCCACCTTCTAGAATGGCCACATATACAACTGTATTGATCGATTTTATTATTGAAAAGATAGATAATGATTCTAGCAGTCCTTCCATTGAAGTGGTAAGAAGTAATTAATTATGTGGTAAATTTGATTTTATTTAAACCTTTAATAATTTCCTTTTATTTAAGTGTTATAAAATGCTTGAGGAGTTAATATGGAGATATCAAATTCTTGCATTTGAACATGTTCTTTTTGCGCTTATAAGAGGACAGAGAGAAAAGAATGCAACAGCATTTAAAATATTAGATTTTCTTTTATTTAAATCTGAAGAATATTCAGGGAGAGTAAATTATTTTATATCGTTGGGATTTACTCATAGGTATTGGATTGAAGATGATCATCATGATAAACTTATGAAGTATCTTGAAAGATATCCCGAATATTTTCAATATGAAGCATATGCAATAGGTGGATATGACGAATATGAAACTGTTGCAAAGAAATTAGATCCACCATTAACTGCTACGAATATGCCAATATATTATACTAGTGCTATAAGAAAGTCATTGCCTATATTAGATTTAGTAATTGGTAGATTAATCGAATTTAGTGAAACGGAAATGTTGACAAGATTGTTGGATGAATATGGTCAAATTTATAAGTTTCATCAAACACCTTTAAGCTTTGTAAGAGATTTGTTGTGTTATTATTACCCCGCACCTACTCTTCGAGATTCAACGATTTGTTCAAAATTAATAAAGTTATTAGGTAATTTAATTTATAAAATTTTTTTTTTTTTTTGTATTTTATTAATTTTATTAATTCTTTTTTTTTTTAACAAAATAGATTTCGATGAGTACGATTTTGCCACTGAATTATTGAATTATGGGACTAACGAAATATTATTCTCGGGACTTTTTGATTCCTCATATTTTGAAAAAGTTTTCCATAAATTGGCCAATCGTGAGTTACTTTTATAACTTTGTCTGCGATAAAATGCGAGCTAAAATAATGAATTATTTACAGATATGGAACCACAAAAATGTGCCCCAAAGACGAACACAAAACTTCCAGAACGCCATTTTCAAGAAATTCCGAATCCGGTGGTTCGAGCCTTACATATTGCGTGTGTTGAAGTCTTAGCAACACCTGTTAGTTCACAAGATATCGTCAAATCAACATTAGATGTTATTCTAATGAATGGAAGAAAGAATACTGCAGTACAACCTATTGTTTTACATGCTATGGGATTGTTATATTCATTCTTACCTACAAAAGAATTTGTGGATAAAATGTTTGATGAGATGTTAGTATTAATTCAAACAGATCCACACCTTGCAGAATTTTCTCAGCCTTGTAATATAGTAAGATATCAAAATAAATATATATAATATTTATTTTTTTCGTATTTTTCCTAACTAAAATTAAAATTTTTTTTTAGTCTGGATGTGGTCCTTTATTTTCAAGAACATATTCTAACAGGTCGCATCTTCAATCAATGGATCCTTTACAACAATTATTATCATCAAATTCAGAGCAGCCATTTTCAACAATGTTTCCATATATATTTAATGATTACAGATCTAATTTACGTAATTTTGGAACTAACGCAGCTAATAGTTTCTTAACATTTATACATAGTTTATTACATTATTCAAATATTGAAGTTGTACAAGATTTTTTAGATAAATTTGTAATGTTAAATGGAATTAAGACAGATATACAGTTACTTTATTTATGCGCTTTGGTTGGACCGTTAATATATAGATTTGAACATAATTTTTTGTTTATTCAATCGGTAAGTGATAATCTATTTTATTGAAAAATCGAAATTTTATTTTCAATAATTAATTATTAATCTGTTGACAGTTTTTACGAACTTTCATTCAACATTTACATGATGTAACTTTAAATATGAAATTGGAGGAATGCGGAGACAGTACTTTAGCATTGGAACAAATTTATGACTTTTTGTATCCTTTATTATAATAATTAATATTTTTTCCACATTTTTTATTTTATCCTTAATCCTTTTTTTATTTTTTATAGACACTGTGTTAAACCTATCATTATGAATGATATATACACCAGCGGAATTATTAGGTTATTAAAATTACCTGTACAAAATAGATTAAGACTATAACGGAAATGTAAGTATGATTTAGTAATATAAAATATTACGTGGGGCTGCGCGTTTATACAGTTTTTATATATTTAGGTCGTGCATATTGTATAACTATTTATTTTTTTTTATAATAAAAAACTATAAAGCCAATTAAATTAATTGTTAAGATGATATCTAAATAGATATAAATAATGATCAATCTATGAAAGAGATTAATTAAAAGCTTCGAATGTAAATTAGATCATACTAGTAACTATACCAGTTTATTTCCATATTCTTCACTTCATAAATTGCTGTTGCGTCATCATACCAATTATATTGTTATAATGTCGATTTCTTAAGCAATCATTTATTTTGTACGATCAATTACGCATGCGCCTTCAGTCACGTGATTTTAATGTACTACGTATAAAACCAACTAGAATTCACGCTCAAATTTGCATAAAATATGGCTTAACGATGTAAGCAATAAGCATCCTAGTGAATATAAGTCACTAAGCCAACCATAAACACATCAAATAAGCCTTTATAATTCAAATAACAAGCCCCGTAATATTTTAATAATTCAATATAAATTCCTTCCAATCTTTGCTTTCCTAAGCCGAGAAATAATAAGCCGGATGAAAAAATTAGTCAGTAATATTGGCCTTTTTTTTTGTTGCATGAGTTTGATTTTTATTTTCGTGTACCATACGTGGCAATAACGAGGCTTGAAAAAGCTACGCCGCAATTGCTTGAAAGTTGGATTTTATTTATATTCATGCTGTGTTTTATCCATAAAAGGATTGTTTGCAATAATTATTTCTGTAACCTTTCGAAGCAGAAAATACTTGTACACAGGATTGTACACCACCGATTTTCCTGCTGCTTTTTTTTAATTGGATGAAATTTAAATCTCGATATCTCTGTCATCTTATAAATGTCCACAGAGAAAATTCCTTCACGAAAAAAGATTTCTTTTTTCTGTCAAATGGAGGGTTCAACGATTCCTTCAGAATATTTTGCTCGTTGTACAGTTGAGAAAACCCTTTCTGAATTTCACACAGATACTGAATCTGGACTTTCAACAAAGGAAGCTCTTCATAAGCTAAAAACTTGCGGTTATAATGAATTTGAAGTCGAAGATGGCGAATCCGTTATTATCAAATTCTTAAAACAATTTGTAGAGAACCCACTCATTTTATTACTTCTTGGTTCGGCTGCTGTTTCCTTAATGATGGGAAACCGGAATGATGCTTTTTCCGTGCTTTTAGTAAGTTTTTTTTTCATTAATGTTTCTTACTTTAAATGTTTTAACCATTTTTTTTATTAACACCAGTATACGATTTAACTTTATTATAACATTAGGCGGTATTAATTGTTACGACAGGTATTTACTTAACTGATCATTTTCTTAAATTCATTTTGATAAACTAAATATTTTTATTTATAGTTGGTTTTATACAGGAGTATCGATCAGAGAAATCTTTAGAAGCACTTAATAAGCTAGTTCCTCATTATTGTCATCTCAAACGGTAAATACATTATTCTAGTTTAATAATTAATCCGATTAAATTTTTTTTTAAAAAAAAACAATTTACGATTTTTTTTTAGTGATAATTCATGGATAACTACTTCAGCAACTGTTTTGGTACCAGGCGATTTGGTTCGTTTTGGTATTGGAGATAGGATTCCCGCCGACGTTCGGATAACTTCCGTAATTAAAAATTAATTATGTATTTATATTAATGGTAGTTCATATTTAATTAATAACTTTTTAATTTAATCATTTAGGCCGAGAGTTTGGAAATTGATGAATCTAATTTGACTGGCGAGGCCAAACCTCGTTCAAAAATAACGGAAAGTATTGATGTCAATAATGGATATGATAAGATAACAATACAGGATCAAAGAAATATAGCTTTTATGGGAACACTTGTCAAAAATGGTATTTTCCTTTTATTGCGTAATTATTTAGTCAAATAAGTATTTATATTAGATATTTTATTTTGCGTATAGGACACGGACAGGGTATAGTTGTTGGTACTGGTTCACAGACGGAATTTGGTGTTGTATTTTCCATGGTTAGGGAGGCCGAAACACCAAAGACACCTTTTCAACTAAGTATGAATGAACTTGGGAAAAAACTATCCTATCTATCTGGTGGTATAATTATAGTTATTGTCATTATTGGAATTATCCAAGGGCGTGAATGGCTAGAGATGTTTACTATAGGAGGTCATTATCTTAATTTATATTCATTTTTTTTTTACGTAAAGAAAATTTTTAAGATTTTACTTGTTATATCATATAGTAAGTTTGGCCGTCGCTGCTATTCCCGAAGGCCTTCCGATTGTTGTTGCGGTAACTTTGGGGTTGGGAATTTTAAGAATGGCAAAAAAAAATGCTATTATAAAGAAATTGCCATCTGTCGAAACTCTCGGATCTGTCAATGTGATTTGTGTAGATAAAACCGGTACACTTACCGAAAATATGATGACCGTCACGAGGATATTTACTTTGGATGAAGAAACCACTTTCGATTTGGAACATGGCTTACCTACCAAGACTAGTTCTGCTATGCGTGAAGTTCTTAAAATTGGTATTATATTTAAACTAATTAAGATAAGATATTTATTTAAAAGTGTGTTCATTAATTATATATTATAATATAGGCGGAGTATGTAATAATGCTAGTATTAACGAAAATGGAAAGAAATATGGACAAGCAACAGACGTTGCTTTGCTTGATGTTATAATAAAAATGAATATGGAAGATGAGATAAAGGTATTTAAAATTAATATTAAGAAAATAAAATAAGAATATTCATAATCATTACTTTATTACAACATTATAGAGTTTTCGTCGTACATCCGAAATTCCTTTTAATTCCGATCAGAAATGGATGTCGGTATCTGGAAAGTTTGAAGGATCTCAAGCCGATACTGTTTACTTCAAGGGGTCCATTGAAGCAGTTTTATCAAGATGTGCTACTTATTATGTATCTGAAACTCATAAGCCACCGTTGGATGCTTCTGCAAAGGAATTAGTGATGCGTCATGTCAATGCAATGTCTTCTCATGGTCTTCGAGTTCTTGGTGTTGCATATGGACCTGAGCTCACTGAACTTACCTTTGTAGGTTGTGTGGCAATGTACGATCCACCAAGGAAAGGTTTGTATTTGCACCTAGTATAATGTATTTTCCTTTAAATTTTATATACATATTGTTAACTCATTTATAATATAGGAGTTGAAAATGCCATTAAACAGTTAATTAAAGGTGGTGTTAAAGTTGTTATGATAACGGGAGATTCTGGTATGTTTCTTTTCTTATTTATAACGATACTATTTAGAGATTAATCAATGCTTTTGTTTTTTAGATCAAACTGCGCTTTCCATAGCAAGGAAACTGGGAATCCCAGTTAATCATTCATCACGGTTAAGTTGTCTCACTGGAAGTGAAATTGAAGCAATGGATAAAGAACAATTGAGAAATGTTATTAGTAACATTTCCGTTTTTGCAAGAACAGCACCTAAGCATAAAATGGCCATAGTTCAAGCACTACAATCAACTGGCGCAATTGTGGCCATGACAGGTGATGGTGTAAATGACGCACCAGCTTTAAAAATAGCTGATATCGGTATTTCAATGGGTAAAAGTGGTACAGACGTTTCCAGAGAAGCTGCCGATATAATATTGGTAAACGACGATTTTACAACTATTTTAGATGCGGTAAAAGAAGGTAGTATTATATATGTTAGTTTATATACATACGTATAAGAGCTTAAATCACTTATTACTAATATTTTATTCTTTTATAGGAAAATCTATATATTATAATATCCGAAATTTCTTAACTTTTCAATTGAGTACCAGTATTGCAGCGTTGACACTAATAACAATGTCCACGATTTCTGGATTACAAAATCCTTTAAATGCAATGCAAATTTTATGGATTAGTAAGTTGGAAATTTTTTATTAACTTTTAGGAATTCGAGTTTACTAATATATTTTTATAGATATATTAATGGATGGCCCACCCGCACAATCGCTTGGAGTTGAACCTGTTGATGAAGGCGTAATGCGTCAACCACCTAGGAAAAAGAATGCACCTATACTTACTACAGCATTAATTATGAGAGTTGTAACTTCAGCAGTTGTTATGGTTGCTGGTACATTATTTATATATGTTAAGGAAATGCGCGATGGTATTGTTACAGCTCGTGATACTACAATGGTAAGAATCTTTATTTTCATTATTTTATATTATCGAAGTTTATATTTGATTATCATTATTAATATATATATTTTTTAATAATAATAGACATTTACTTGTTTTGTTCTATTTGACATGTTTAATGCTTTAAGTTGTCGTTCAGAGAAAAAATCAATTTTAGAATTGGGCTTATTTTCAAATACAATGTTTAATCTTGCCGTTGTTGGTTCATTAATCGGACAATTATGTGTAATTTATATGCCATTTTTCCAAGCGGTTTTTCAAACAGAGGCCTTAACTCATTCAGATATATTTTTGCTTGTCCTATTGACATCATCGGTATTTTGGATTGACTCATTTCGTAAATATTATCAAAAACGAAAACGAGGAGAAGAACCGGTAGAAAATATTGAAATGGTATAGAATGTTATAGAATGTTATAGAATATAATTGATACATAGATACATATTACACACGATAAGCATGATTATTAATTATAATTTTAATATTCATATTTCGGATTAAACAAAAGCAATAGCAAAATATTTAATTTTTTTCTCCGAATACTATATTAATTACTTATAATGTATAATATACATACGATATTTCACAGTTAATAATTATAAATAAAATAAACGTATAATTAATTTAATTATTTTAGATTATATTTACATCTTGTTAATTTATAAAGCTATAAAATATATTAATAAATTATAATTTTTATATTAAATAAACAACAATTTTATCCAACTTGTTCTAATTCAACTAAAACACCACCACAATCTTTTGGATGCAAGAACACAACAGGATTACCATGAGCACCAATTTTTGGCTCAGGATCCAATGGTCTAATACCTTTACCCAATAAATCTTTGACAGCATTACTTATATTATTAACTTCAATACAAATATGATGAATACCACCATTTTTATTTTTTTCTAAAAAATTTTTTATAGGGGATTTTTCACCATATGGATGTAATAATTCAATTTTTGTATTACCCAAATTAACAAATACTGTATATACCCCATGTTCAGGTTGTGGCTATATTAAAATAAAACGTTTATTTATTGTTGTTATTAAGTATATAAAAAAATGAATCTTGGAAACTTACCAATGCTTCACTAACTTGATCAACGCCTAAAATATTCTTGTAAAAATTTACAGCGTTGTCAATATTTGGTACTGCTATAGCAACATGATTTAAATGACCCAATTTCCACAATGGATGATCCTGCAATATTAAAAGACTTTTAGAATTGGATTCGGTGTAAATTTTTAAGTCCACGGCCTATATTTGTATAATATACATATATTAATTACTTTTAATATATCACTAGTATTCGCTCCTGCAATAAAAGATACCGAAGAATAAGAAGAGAAATATTTATTTTGGTCTCTTTGAAGATAAATTTTACTATTAGTATTAAATTTACTAAATACACCGATATTTTTAGTATTTAACGTTCGAGATAAAAATATAGAGTTTTTTATAACATTAATGTTTTTTGGAAAAATATTTTTAATTAAATGAAACATTTTTGATGTTATTTTTATTTATAAAATATATTAAGATTAATATATTTTTTTAAAAGAAAAGGAAAAAGAATCATCAATTTATCAATAAATCGTCTGATTCCAATAATTGTATTTAATTGGTCAGGATTTCCTCAGATGTTGTATAATTTTCACATGATTTTATATCTGTGTCACGATAAATCGAATAAGAAAAAAAATCTCAATTCTTTTTCAAGTTTAGAAATTAGAATGACTCTGACAAAATCATTAATTCCGAAAGCCAAAAATGGAGTTGGTGCTTTTGTTTTTTCATGTCGTAAGATTGAATTCAATTATTGTGAACGTAGCGGAAGTAGCTATGGAATGATGTAAGTAATTTGTTTAACTTTTATTCATAAAAAGTTATTCTCAAATAAATTCTCGTATATTTAGTAAATATCTTCAAAATCATTTAATTCCTTTTGCAAAGATAAACCCACAGATGGAAATTGTGGTAACACCTCGTCCATCAAAACATCCTCTCATTACTGGAACATATCGTTAGTCCTAAATATTTTTCTTTGTAACTTTTTTTTGTAATTATCTTCTCACATAAATTTACGTATATATATATATTGTGTATAATAGTGAACCTCAAAAAAAAGCAAGTTTGTGTTAAAAATAAAAATCCTGACGAAATTGCAGAAATTGTAAAATTGATACGTGATAATACGGGAGTTTCTACAAAAAAAAGGTTTAAAAAGCCAGTTATTTCAACAACTAAAAGTATTAGAGGTATTTGGAGTCCATTCCATACTCGACCACATTTAATTTAAATTTTATCAATTGTAAAGAAAAAAAAAAAAATTTATTTTAATAAAAAAAATCTTTTCAAAAGAAGAAATTATTTGAAGGAAAAAACTTTAGTGCTTTCATTTCTCTTTTAAAGTGTTCACCCGGCGTTATGAAGGGAATATTTTTATATGATCACGTGAAAGTGAATCCATATTGGTCGGCATTTATTATATGTTACAAAAACTATTAATTTGATTTTTAATAAAATAAAGCTATAAAGCTTTAACCGAAAATAATCGGAAAAAAGCATATAAAATTAAATAAAAGAAATGAAGATAGCAAAAGTGAAATCGAAATCGCATGAAGGAATGTAAATCAAGAATAAAAAACAAACCAAAAAAACAATACAAAAAAAAGCACAATAGAAAACGATGAGATCCAGACAAAAAAAAGCAAAGATGAAACTTAGAAAACCAAATGAAAAAAATGAAAAAAAAAGAAACAGAGTGAAAAATTGAAAAAGCATTGATTAGTTATACTCAGAAAGAAGAACGTATTGCCATTTATCAAGACGTTAAACTAAACCCTCAGGAATTTAGATTATTCTTTTTGTTTATTTATGACAAAAAATATTTACTAAGAAAGATTAAAATAAGTTTTCAAAATGTAGTTTATTTTTTGTTTCATATAATTTCCTATTATAACTATTAAAATTCTTATGAAATTACAAGTATGTATAAATATTTTGATTAAGAAAATAATTAACAACAAAAATATGATAGAAACTTACCGCCATTAACAGTTAGTATTAATTTGGTCATATTCTTAACCATTTTTACGATAGTGCATTTCCAATTTCCATTCAGCCACTTGCAAGACATGACCAATAACTACAAATTTGTTGGTACAAAATTCAAGTTAATAATCATTGGGCATTTAATATGAGATTATACCATAAATTTTTAAATTTTATTTCTATTTCAAAACTTTACAAATTTAAATTTATACATTTCTTAATCGCTAATCCATCCAATTCACGTAATAAAATAATTTCTAAATTTTTTTTATTTCTTAAAAGGAAAACATACATATAGAGATATAATTATCATTACATACCTATTTTGGCAAATCAATAAATATCATTTATAAGACTTTTTTGGCCAGCATTCTGATATTATTAAGAAAATGCTCAACTATCTCTATGTATTTATTTTCCTGGTTTCTTTCTATTTTGAGCTTTTCTTCGAGTAATATCCTTGGATTTATAAATTCTACTTCTAACTCGTGAGTCAAATCCTGTGAGCCTCCCTTAATAAATATATATAAATGAGATATTTATTTCCCAACCTAAAAATAAATTATGCAAATAAAACAAAACTTACACCAGATACCTTGACTTGCGTTAAATCAATCTTAACTATTTGATGGGTATAGCTTAACCTATCCTTATTCCTCTCAAAATTATGTTGTCCTTCTGGCATTTTCTCTGCAAATGAATAAAGTATTAACATTTTAATCTATGTCTTTATATAATTAAAGAATTTCAAATAATTACTAACTTGGAATTTCCCGATTTACAGAAATACGATAATCTAACTTCGTGTTTGGTGAGTAAATGTTTAAGTCTGCAACACGAATTTTTTGTACAATACCGCCTTCAACAATCTAATCAAAATAATATTGTTAGAAAAATGATGTATTAAAGCAATGAATAGACACAATAAATTAATTTATACCTCTCCAGTTTTTCGGTCTCTTGTTACTCTAATTCTTCCTTCCTTTGTGTCATAAAAACTATCTATTTCATATGTATGTTTGTATTCTACAGGTTGTCCCTACAGCATATTTAAAATTCTTTTTTAACTAATTTAAATATTTTAAAATTAATCTAGCATACCTTATGCGATGGAGATTTTGTTTCAATGAAACGATTGTTTAACAATTCATTAAAAGATTTATGTTGTTCCTAAATTAAGAATAAAGAATTATTTCGGTTAACCTTATTCTGAGTATGCCATATTCATCTTGGAATTGCTTACAAGAGTCATATTACTCTCAAATATCATCCACTTGTCTTCATGAGGATTTATTACTGTAGGATATAACACATAAATCAGCCGAAAAGAATTTTTGAAAGAATGATGGAAATTTTTTGTTAGAATGCTTACCTGTCTCACAAAAAACTGGTAACTTTATTCGTTCTCGATTTACTTTATCCAATAAAACACCTAACTTGGCTTCTATCTAAAATAAAAGAGAAATAAGTAAGATATATTAAACAATTTAAATATTAATTTTATTACCTCAACATCTCCCTTTCTAACGTGATTATACAAAAAGTCACTAACAACTCTAACAAAATCGTTATTTGGTTGTATCCCAAATATGCTAGGTTCTAATTCTTTTGGCAGTAACGGTATTCTGGAACTTTGGTGTTGTACTAAACCATTTGATGTTTCTTCACTATTCAATTTTTCTTCATCCTCTTCAGTACGACGACGTTTCGACATGGTTATGAAAAACGTGTAAAGTTATGGTAAAGAGATAAATTCGTATTTCACATGAAAGACAAAAGCAAAAATTTTTTTAAGGATAAATAAAGCAAATTACGTCATCACTAAATACAGTTTACCCTTATAGCGAATTTTTATATAACGAATCACGTGACGCTTAGCCAATAAAATATGTCAATTTTCCCTCGTTATAACGAAGTAACCAATCAAATTCTTCAAATTCTTCGTTAACTTGCTATAACGAATTTGAGGTGCAGAACGGTTTCTTCGCTATATCAAGGGTAGACTGTAAGCATCTGTAGGTTTATTGACTTATCACGTGAATCAACCCATTGGTTACAAATGCAAAATTTTTTTTTTTCAAGACGCGAGCTTAGAAGTGATTGTTTTGACAGATAAAACTTTTGAGAACCTTAATGAAGCTTAAGTTATTCGGAAAAAAACTTACAAAACAAACACAAAAATGAAAATTATCATGATTTTGAACTATTCAAAGACTAATTACTTCTCATAGAATAATAATGTTAGAATATTTGCAAGAACAAACACTAATCCTCAATTTACCAAGGCTAGCTTTGATTAATTATATATATAAATTTTACATCACTGAGGATTTATTACGTGAAATATTATTCAAAGCTTTATTTGCTTTTTTTTTTTTGATTAATAATTTGAGCACAACCCGCACAACCTGGATATGCTCCATTTCGTAAACAGGGCATTCCATTAAATTTTAACAATCATCAAGCTTTGGCAAATACACTTGCAGTACTCGTTAATAATAATTGGTCCAAACACATAAACATGATTGTGGATGTTACAAACTTCAGTTCTAAGAAGGGCCAATTGGAAGTTGTCAAACATCTAATTGTAAAATCACTTTCTGTGGTCTTATAATTCTCAATATGTTTTTTTGTTTTAACTTAGTAAAACCTACTAACAATATTCTGTCATTTCAACTATAACAGTAGAGAATTACAAAGAACACTGCACCTTCTGAGCATCTACTTCAACTGCACCAGATTTATCAAAAGAACTACAAAGGATTCATGTCAGTTTTCCCAAAAATTCACTTACGTTTTACAATAATCTTAATAACAATGAAGGTAAAGCACTATTTATTTCATACAATACATTTCTTTGGTTGGTATGCATTCTATTCAACAGTATTAGCAGTTGTTTTTTTTACATAATTACAGTTTTACTAATAGTTATCAGAAAATATGAAATTTATAACTTTATTTACTTAAACAATTTTACATCAATCCGGATAAAATTTGAAGTATATTATTATTATTTTTTTTATACTTAGCAAAAAAATACACAAATAAAAAAGAACACTAGTTCCAATCTATCTGTAATTATAAGACGAACTCAACCTTGCTATTAATTCCATATATACCAGAGCCAACTTAATATTTTGAGCATTTCCTACTTTTGAAAGGGTATTAATAATATAACAATTAACCATAAAAAATTTGTGAAGCTAATTACCAAAGATTTAATAATATCTATTATATTCATGAAGAACGAAGTAAAAATATATTAAGTTTAGTACATTTTTTCAGGTTCTATCTTTTTTACTATGAAATTCATCAAATATCATCATGTCATAACGATATTTCCTAATTCTTTGTTAATATCTTAACATATTAATAATAAAAATTTGATTGTTATAATAACCAATGAAAATCACGATCTATTCCGTTAATTAAAAATTACATTATTGATATAAACGTTATTTCTATTCTTTTTAAAGATGTGCTTTTTATTTTCTTACAAGCTTTTTATTTGAAAGATTTTTTTTGAGTATTATTGAATCCTTAAGATAGAATTAAGATAAAAAAGATCCTAAGCATAACATGAGAATTTTAACAGGTCAATATACTGTATCTTGGATACAACGCATTATAACTTTCATAATTTAATTTGCACTCTGTTTCTTTTTGATTTTTCTAACAAAAATGGATCATCATATCATTAGAATTTCTGGTACAATTGCTAATTAGAGAATGTGTGTCATAGAAGTTAGCATTCATTCTTCTGAATTAATATAAGGTGGAATGTCACACTAGAGCTTGAAAAAGTTCATAAGTGGCTCTGCTTTTCAATCTAGGCAAGTGACAACCTACTATACATAATCTTTCAACCAAAACTTCTTTCGTTTACAATCAAAGTAATATTTTCCCAAAACAATAATGTTATACAACACATCATTTATTTCCTTATTAATAATATATTATATAACAGAGTGTATTGCTATGTACTTCCGTGAACTTTGACCGAAAGAAGTGTTTGCTGGGACATTTCAAAGAGCTATATCATAAAAGTCTGAACAATAGGCAGTTCTTGGCACTTGGCATCAGTGAGCAAAAAAATTCTAAATTCCCACGGTATTTGGCCTTAACAAATTGATTATCTAAATTTTGGTCGAAATGTTACTAATCCAATTGATCCGGATATCAACCGCAAATCTTTTTTAAATGTTAAACACCTTTAATAGGGCTTAAATTTGTTTTTTTAGCAAGTGCAACTGTATGCAAATCTCTTTTGATATTGATAATATTGGATTCGTATTAATCAAATCAATAAATAATTTAAACTGTTGGAGCGTAAAAATATGTAACACTGATCGAATTATAATACTGATTTTAACCAATAAAAATGTTTAATTTTGTGTAACGTAAGATTTTTCTAAAATATTAGCTAATATATGTGTCATGGCCCTAACGCGGTAGGCTGTTTATGTCTAAAATGTTAAACTATTTTATAATAAATAAATTATTTACATAGTTGTTACACCTGATCCTAAATTTTCATTGGTTACATTGGTTACAAATAAAACATGTGACGCAAATTCGCGAATTTTTGTCGCGTCCGTAATAAACAATATAAGCAATATAAACAATACTGATTACGACATACATATTTTCTTATTTAAACACAAAGGGTCATACAATTTGTACTATTTGCAAGTTGTAACCTACTTTCCTTATTTTTATATTTTCGTTCCATAAACGCGTAAAATTTAACTAAGCAATTCAAAATAAAATAATAATGTTCAAAAACATAGAAATTGAAACGCCGAACTCACAAAGTTCATTTTCTTTCCTTGCACCACGTTATAAGGACTTTAATAATGACGTAACTTTTAGTGAAGGAGACTCATTTTTTGGTACATTGAACGGATTTTTTTTTCGAAGCATTAATATGGGTTTGTTATTAACTTATAAACTACACGTTTCCTAAACTCCATAGATACTGCAATAAGGTTGACAAGGTCCGCAACCAGGGGACAGCCCCTTTTTACACCGTCAAGGAATGTTCCATTCACTCCAATATTAAATGGAATTAACGGGAAAGATAATTATGCCAAATTTATAATTGAGAAGCTTACTACTAAGAGTCCATTGAAACAACCAAAAAAAATAAAATTTCTTGATAATCTCGACGTAAAAGCCGGTGCTAATAAAGAAAATGGGCCACCAGTTGTAAAAATTGTAAAAGAAGCTGTAAACACGGCTAATATCAAACCTGCTAAGCAAGTAAAAAATTATCCTGGTTGTAAATCTCAAGGGATTCGGGTATGAATATTCATATAATACCTAATCATATTCTTATTCAAATAGTCAATACCTTTGTCATTTATATTTTAAGAAACGGCAACCTATCAAAAAACCTGGCACAGTTTTGACAATTCCTAAACCTTTCAGATTTCACAAGAGGAAGCGCTCTAATGTGATAAATAGGAATTCCCCAAAATCACCATTTATTTCATTGGCAGAGCGTATACAACAATTTTTGGAAAAAACTCCAGACAGATTCAAATCAAAGCTTGTGACAATGAGGGTGAGGGAATACTTCATTTTTGATAGTTATAATTAAATTAAATTTAACTAAGCTAAAAAACTTAAATTTTATAGTCTACGTCGAATTATGTTAATCTTCCTACAAAAGCGAGGTCTCCATTCTTGCGCACTAAATTAAGGGCTGGAAGGATCAAGTAAACTTAATTAAATAAAGAGTTTTTCTCCATTTTATATGTTAAATATTTATAATAATTTCTATAGGATGACGAACAAGGAAAATAAAATTAATAATGATAAGGTGCAATCAAAACCGGTTGATTCATGTGATATCAAATCCGGGTGCGTCAAGAAAACTAAGCCGAAAATCACAATACCGGTATCTCCACATATAACAAAACCAAAACCACCTCAGCAAAAACCTCCATCACCACCTCGTATTATTAAAGCAAATCCAGTACCTCAGCTTAAGGAACCTTTCAAGCCTATTGTAGCACATCGAAAAATAGATCCTACCAAATATTCACTTCCGGGAGAAAAAATTTCACAACGTAAAGCAGAAATAAGAGAAGAAAAATTAAAGAAGGAGGCACAAGAGCAAGAAAAGGCGCGTAAATTTAAGGCTCAACCACTTCCTACTGGTTCACCTGATGTAAGTTACTTGACAAAATATATTTACGGTAAAAAAAAAAATTTTCGTTCGTATTATAATTAATTATTTCTTATTATAGAGTTTGCCCCCTGTTCATCCGTTACCTACTACTGTAACTAAACCATTTAAACTAAGGACTAATATAAGAGGAGAGAAATATCAACAGTACTTCCACGAAAAAATTACTGAATTAAATAAACAAAAAAAGGAAGACTTATCGTTTCGTGCAAAACCAACACCTAAGTTGTTACCTTATCGTCCAAAAAAATCGGCTAAACCTTTAACAGAATTTGTTGGATTTAATCTCCATACTGATGCACGCCTTGAAAAACGCAAGGCATATGATGAACAGAGAAACTTACGTGAACAAGAAGAAAATATACTAAAAGAACGAAAGCAAATAGAAGAGGAGGTACGATATATAAAACATTTTTATTTGAGACATGATGATCATAAGTAAATTCGAAATACATTTAAAAACTATAATCAGGAACGTAATAAACAACAAATTCGTCAATTGAGAACCGAGTTAGTACACCATGCTCAACCAATCAAAAGGTATGCGCCCGTTAAAATAGAATTTGCAAACAGAAAAATAACCAAACCCGTTTCACCACTGATTGGGGAGAAAAGGCGTAAAAAATTACAAGCATTAAATGAATCCAATATTCGTAATGCGATATCGGAGAACGTTTCAACAGCAAAAATAGTTCCCCAATCCAAAAATAATAAGAAATTACTAGAAAAGAATGCAAAGGAAAATAGTAACTAGTGGATGGTTGAATTCACTCCTATTTATACATGAAAACACTACGCAATAATTTACTTCTTTCTTTAGCAGCTTTTTTAAAATAAAAAAAGAATTAGTTACAGTAATCTAATAATTAAATTATTATCAAACAAGATTTTATCTTTAACTTTTTTTCTTGTTACTCCAAGATGCTTGAGCGCTTTCCATAATGTGATATAGATACAAAGCAATATAACCATTAATAAATAATTTAAATAATTAAAACTCTCACAGTTAAGTCGTTCGAATTAACACAGTCATAACGATTATATAAATTCTTAATTATAAATGCCAGAGTACGTACAAAAAAAATATTCAATAAAAATTTTATATAATATACGATAGAATAATAATGAGTTTCATACAAAACAATATATTCATATGAAAAGAAAAAATCACGAAAAACTCAATAATATGCCTGTTCTTCAATATAAACAACCAAATAAGTATCGCTAAAAATTGTTAAAAATTATTAAAGTTGGTGTAATCTTATACAAATTTCGCAGCAAAAGAAGTTCCAGACTCTTACAAGCAATGATTATGTTCTTATGGACAAAAAAAGATCGGGACTTGATAAAATTTATAAAATTTGAAATTTTATTGTACGGAGAAAAATATCGTGGTTCGAATTACAAAAAATGAATACTGTACTATTGAACCAAAAAAAACATGAATGGTTGTTATACTGTTTAATTAATTTTATGGTTTTTTATCTTACTTTATTTGTTTATTGCTTAATTGGTTCTGACAAAAAAAAAAAAACATTAAAAACCAACAAAACCAGCGATTGATTCAACAATAAATTTTTGGAAATGATCAAAATTTGGGTAAATTATTATAAATTTTTATTACTCAAAAATATTAAAGAATAATTTGCCAGAGAAAAAAGAAATTGGGGCTTGTCTTTTTTTCTTGAAGTCCAAATAATAATTATAATTTGAGGAGGACTAATATAAATATAATCATATCGGAAACAAAGGATTAAAATAATAATTATTACTAAATAATAAAAACTAAATCTACTAAATAATAAATAATAAGTAATTATTTATTATTTATTAATAACTAGGAACTTTGAGAAAAAATATAAAATTTATTAAGCAATACCATAAATAAATAATTAGTAATTGAAAGCTAAAAATAATGGCTCAACTACACTAAATTAACCATTGCCTCATATGATAATCACTAATTAAATCTAAGGTATCCACTAATTTTTTAATTATACAAGCGGCTTGATAAATGCTCATTGCCTCTATCTCAATGTTCTTAAGGATATATTTCCAATTTTTCTTAAAAATCCTTGTTAACTTGAAATGTTGAAATGTTGAGCAATCATTATAAATGGTGGTGATACTTGCCAGGTTTCAGTATAAAAAAAAACGAAGATTCACGATAGATATTTTCACATCATCATTGTTTTGCCAGTCAATGATTGATAAATTGAGGATTTGCCTTGTTTTGAATAGATTTACCAATATTAGTGATTATTGTTTTAAGCGACTAAAAAATAATTTTCAAAAAAGCATTTTTTATTATTTTCAATTGATAATACATGGTAATATCTTGTAAATGTGCAATAAGGATTTTCGTGTGATTTCGATAATGTTTGATTGTATCCATTACCACTTTTATCCAAAACTTTATATTATATTGTTTCTTTATCAAAGATCAATACACAATAAATAATTTGTCAAAATATGTTATCTTTTTTTTTTACAGTTATCTCGGAGACTGTAGAAATAAGTTGAAAAAAATGATACAAAACTGAAAATGATTTTTTTTTTCCTAATCCAGATAGTAAAATCACGTGATATCAACATATTCATTGAACAATGACTACAATGACTACATTTTTGATATTTACAATAGAGCATTCACACAACACGTATATAGATTTCTGACAATGGTTTTAAATTTCTTGTTTTTCATTTTAAGTATGTATGAACATATTAAATGACTTATCCGGTTATTCCAATTAACTCATTATTCGTAGTAGTCTACTTTTTTGACTAGCTGGACGGAGTTATTTCAACGGATGTTTCGTAGACAGTAATCGCTTTTATGCGATACATGTAGCATGTATATACCAATTCGGAGTTTAATGAATGAAGATAATTTTTTTATAATTATTTTAAAAAAATAATATTTAAAGAGTTGATTTTCTATTATTTACAAGGCAGGTAATTTTATCGCAGTATTGAAATGGATACCATTAGTAATGTAAGAATTATTACCATGATACTCGTTTAATTGATTATTATTATTTTTTTTTTTAATAACTGAATTTTTATTTTGAATTTATTTAGAAACAGCGGCTTGCAATAGAAATTGTATCGATAACACTTGGTGTTATTGTGGTTAGCTTTATCGTAATATGCTTTGTGATAGGATTGAGGAAAGCAAAGAGTATTCCCAAATATCTTATCCTATTTCTATTGGCCTTTATTTGTCCGCCGTTATGTGTCTTTATAATAAGGGACCAAATTAAACCCGGAAGTTGTCTTAAAGTAATGTTTAGAATATTAACATGTGATTATTGTTGCGGGTTTTGTAATCCTAATGCAGTTATTAATTTAATACTTACGACGTGTTATATTCCTGGTATGTATTTATTTGAACTGATTTAGTTTTTTATTAAAGCAATATGTTTATTATTATTATTATTATTATTATAGGAGTTCTTCATTCTTTATACCTATTGTTTTCAGTGCTCGATGATATTTAAATAGTAATATACTATATATACTACATTGTATTTACATAAATAATATACTGTAATTTTTTTTTCGTTGACGTATTAAAGCAATTAAACGATTTGAATTCTCATAGGATTTGTTTCAAATAATCCAATATATTAATTAATGCGTGCATAGAATCAATATTTCAAATGTTCGAAGTGAATACTTGTATACATTTTCATGATTTAAGCTATAGAAGGCGTTGAATATACAGGTCATGAAGGTACAGTAATTGTTTGCTTCATCCTCTACTAAAGAATAGTAGAGGTATTTGAAATTCCATTATAATACAGTAGAAGAATCTTTAAAATATTACTACTTCTTCTTCCACTCTCGCAATCCAAGCTAAAACTAGATTCAAATCGCTCAACGAGAGTGCGAAATTTAAATGGAATCTAACTTATACCGTGAAATTGAATATGTAAAAATTGAAACTTTTTTTTTTACAAGATTTAGCCCCAAAAAGTTATATAGTGCAAGGACTAATTATGAGTTAATTTGAAAAGATTTCTCAAACTAGATCAATCAAATTACCATTTTTTTTATAATTGATTAAAACAAATTCCGTATTTATACAATTTATAGATGTATTTACAGCATAAGATCAATTGACCGTATCGAAACACGAAATTCAAGAAATTTGTTGCTTAATGCATTATAATAAAGGTGTTTTCGATTTTTTTTTTATCACCAGTACGATACTGTGCCAAACATCAAGTGATATACTGCGCCAGCTTTCGTAGCATGTGATTAAAATCAGGTGAAATTTGCAAAGCCCACAAATTATCACAAATAACAAAATGGGCAAAGAATTAATGATCAACTTGATTTTCGATTCAGTCCGTAATTTATAAAGGCCATGTGTTACTTTTTATGTATTGACCATAAATTTTCATAAAGTTTACAAATCCGGTAATCTTACAATGAATTTCAAGATTTCGATTAGAAAATATTTAGATATTTCTTTGTTTTATTTAATTCGTTATAAAATTATATTTTTTTTACTAATATATCAGTTAAGTTAAAAATTAGAGTTATATAATTTTTTCAGCATTCAGTTTAAAGTATTAGGAGGTTTTAGCAAGATAGCATGTATGACAAGTGGTTTGTAATTTAATAATATTAGAGTAGTGTATATAATTTATTGCTTTATGTTATTTTTCTATTACTTTTACCTTAATAAAATTGCAAATGCGCTGATTATTGGAATTAAAAAATATAAATATTATAGTAGTGGTTAAGATACTATAAAATATCCATAAACTAATATTCTTTGAACGAAATTTACCCAAAATAGAATATATGGTTATCCGATACCGATTAAAAAAGTTAAATAGTTAAATTAATTTATATTTTCATGTTTAAAAATAAAGTTTGTATCCTAAATTCCTAATAGGCAAATGCATAAAAAAGATAATGCATAATACGGGTGATAATTATATAAAGGCTTTTAATGGAAGTTGAGTAACATCCACATTGAGTAACATGATAAAAATAAATATATAAAACGTTTAAAACGTTTCAAACAACAGTATCATTTTTAGACATGTTAAATTTCCGATTTTATCACGTGATGTATTATAAAAGGTTTAATCGGGGGTTTTGTTAATTAACCAGTTAATTAACAATACTATAAATTATATAAATTATATAACTATATAATTTTATAGTTAAAATTGTATAGGTTAATTAACACGTTAATTAACCCCGTAAAATTTTATCAATTATAATTATGTTAATTTGAAAATTTTTGATGTGCATAACGTTTTTATAAAAAAATGATATAAAAACTCCAGTGTTGAGATTGAGACCTAAAAAAAAAAAAAAAAAAAAAAAAAAANTGATTCGTTCTTTATTTTAATCATTTCCTCTTAATTAAAACCAACTTCCACTTTTCCTTATTTCTCAAGAAAATTATTAATGACCTCTTTGTCTAAAAAAATCAAATATTTCTTTTTTTTTACATATTTCTATAAAATCTATACTATTTTTTTTAAAAAAAAATATCTCAGTAATCATGCAAAATTCTCCAACCGAATACCCAGAGTACTCTGAATACCATACTCTTGAAGTCACAAACAACTTTAATGATTTACCACACGAAAATGAATCTGTTCCTCTCTTAACAAATCCACTACCTCAACGCATTGTCTCGCAACAAAATAATAACTCTTCTATGAACCAAAACCTTCAAATCTTTTACAATTCTATTAATACATTTGAAGAAATTATTAATAGACAACTTGAACAAGTTAATGAACTTAAAACGTTATTAAATCAAATGAGTCAATCTTTTATCACGCATCAACAACAAGCTCCTATGCCTCGTCGTATAAGCCGAAACTATGTCACTAGACCTCATCCTTATTTGAATGAACGTTTAGTTTCTTCTCGGACCCCAACTATTCGTTCTGCTATGCCAACCTACCGTCATGAATGCTTTACCGAACAACTCGCTTCATCGAACAGTCTCCATCGTCAGCAAACCAACGTTCCTGCTGAGACAACTGATAATGAAATTTTCCCTTCTGATATTCAGAATTATGAATTTTGGTAAACTTGTAATATAGCTTGTATGCAGTTAGCCTATTATACTCCTTTCTTCCAATTTGCAGCCAATTATATGTCATTATAACAAAATACGATCATCTTTAATTTTTTTTTCTTATTTCATATTTCTTTTTATATTTATACTATTTATACTTGTATTTTTATACTTGTATTTTTTATATTTTATAGTATTAAATAAAAATTTAGGTTTGTTCAAATTATATTGTCATTATTGTCATGTGATTTTTGACTTTGCTAAAAGTTGAAATTCGGTCAGTTGTTTAGTTATTCTTTCGTCATACTTTTCTATAGGTAATGCACAAGTAAATCATTTTACAGATCAACTTTAGTATATACTGTACAAATCCTGCATAATTACTCATTTTAGGAAAGGCTATAATCAAAGGATTTGACATACATGGATCGGCAATTTCAATATTTAATGAACATCACATGAATTTACGAATAACGCATTTGAATTTTTTTTTTTAATTTGAAAGTTCGTATAATTGCTCAAGAAGTTTCTTTTAAAAACTAAAGAAGTAAACTAAAGAAGTAAAAGACTGGGAATTAATAATATGTCCTTAAAGCTCGGGTAATTTGGGAAATTAAAGAAAGAGTATTGATATTTAACAATGTTTTCTTTTATTCTTGGAGTAAAGGTGCATTAGTTTCAGGAAATTTTAGACATATTCTTCTCTGCAATATAGTTTTAGTTTACTTTTGATGAATTGAGTTATTAAGTAAATTTTCTCTTCCTTTTATGATATGTTATGCAAGATTTTATTTAATAATATATTCTTGTTTACATTTTTTAGATTCTTTGTTTTAGTACATACCAGCAAGTGCTTTCTGAGTAGTGATGATTTATTCTAGTTATAGAATATCTTTAACTATCTTTTATTTGTTTAATTAAAACCCTGATTATGCTAATATTACACTGATTTTGGTAAATATTATAATATTAGCTAGTTGGCTTACTCGTATCACTTTTTTGATAATATAATGTTCTTTATCTTGTATTTATATAGAATTTTGTATTTTAAAATTTTTGTTCTTAATATTTATATACCTACTGAAGATATTACTTTTTTCATTCCCTTTTTTTTGGAATTAGTTATTGCTATTCATCAATGAACTTTAATTAATCAATTAATAAATTGTTCTTCCCTAATGCTCTGGATCAATGGGCGGCCGTGCTTGGAGTAATTCTGAGTATTACGATAGCACTATGTGCTGGAATAGCTTCTCTCTTTTGGATACTTGGGATATATGAGGAAACATCGTAGCTATTGTCTTGATCATTATCACACGACTGCCAGAACGTCCGGTACATATTATTGATGCAAGTCATGTAAGTATCACATTCATCAAAGTAGGATTTATTTATTAGTCAATATAGAGGGAATTTATATAATATTTTGGAATTAAATAGTATGATCTCTATACTAATTATACTAATGATGGAATTTTAGATGATCTTTAATGCGTAACGAAACAAAAATATTGAATGATTTGAATTGCACGATATTTACTAAAATATTCCAAAATATATTATGTACGAAATGTATTAAAGAATAATTTAATTTTTGATTTATGATAATTTTATTAGAATGTAAATAAAATCTCTAAAATTTTACAAGTTTTATTTAATTATTATACCGATTTTAATTTTTATATTTTAATTGAATTAATCAAATTTAATTTTAAATATTACGTTCTTTTATCACACCTCTTTTTTCCATAATTTCCTTCAAACAAAATAATTATTATTTAGATTTCAATACAGGCCTTTTTATGGGCAAAATTATGGTCTTTCGCGTCTAATGAGCAATTATAATTTATGTATAGCGGCCTCTTATTTTGATTTTTAATGGGTAATTTTAATTCATATTCTTATTTGATTTTAATACTTTTTCATGGACAATTTTAATTTATGCGTTAGTGATGATCTTTCCATTTGATCTTTAATATTTTTCGTAGGAATTTTATTTATGGTGATGGTCTGATCTCTAATGGGCAATTATAATTCATATATAGTAGTCTTCCTATTTGATCTTTAATATTTTTATGAGTAATTTTAATTTATGTATTGCGGCTTTCATATTTTGATCTTTAATACCTACCCTTTCGTGAATTTAATTTATATATGATGGTCTTATTATTATTTGATCTTTTGTATTTTTTTTTGTGGCATGCGATAGTCTTTTCATTTATAATAAATGCAATTTTTTTTTGGAAAATATCACTTATTATAAAAGTATGAACAATTTAATATTTTACATAGTTGAAAATAAAATGTTTATTTTGTATCAATAATATCAAAATATACAATCACCAACCGGATACATATATTATTTCTAGTCTAAATTTTCATGTTTTTCTTTTCTTTCCAATTCTTTATTAATCCAATTTTTAATCGCTGTTAATGTTTTATCACATTTAGGTATATCAATATTATTGTACTGTACATACGAGATACCATCGATTGATTAAAACCAATATCATCAAGTGAAATATCCCTTATTTCTCGAGCTATCCTATATTGATTTGAAACATCAAGGGTTTTCCTATAATCTAAAAATTATTTTAAATTCTTTAAGTATCTTTGATTCTTTGCTTGTAAAAACTCGTGTTCTTTTAGGTTTCCATTGTTCATTTAATTTATTTAAGCTTTATTTTGATTTATAAACAATGGATAAAATCGTTAAATTTGTTATTTTAACATGCTTCAAAATATTAAAAAAAAGTTAATTTGTCATTTCATTTCGTCATATCTCCCTAAAATTCCTAAAATATCATTATCTTTTCTCACGATCTATCTTTTGAGCGATTAAATTATCAAATTACTTGCATTAATAATAGTTTAACAAAAAAAAAAATTCAATTGAAAAAAAAAGTTATTATTTTTTAATCATTTCTCTTATTACATATAATATCAGATTTTATAAAATAACTGACAGTGATCTGCATCTTTCTCGTTATTATATAATATACAGTATTTTTTATGAAATATTTGATAAAAATTTATAGTTGATTTATTGTCTAACACGTTATAGTTAAAAAGGTGTAAATTTTTGAAGTGTAGAATTCCGAAGAATTCGGCATATTCTTTCGGAAAAACACATGATTATGGTTTAAGCACAAGTCACGGATCAGCCTAAAAGGGTAATTCTCAGAATTCCGAAAAATTCGGATTTTTTTTTCGGGAAAATACTTGATTATATAGGATAAGAAAATTTTTGAAAATTTGTCAAAAAATACTTGATTGATATATGTACATATACAGTAAAATAAATCAATAATTATATTTTGATATTTATGACTTACTTATATACGCACGAAGAGAATGATGATGATGATTTTGATGATGATGATCTAGAAGATTTTGAAGGCAAGTGCAGCTCAGATTCCAAATCATAATAAATTTGCCCCAAAATTTATTAATACGTTTAATGTAGCGATAGTGCCGAACTTAACTAGATACCTGGTCTCCTAGCGTGTGATGGGAGGTTATCTTCGGAAGACGTAGTATAAACGAATCGGTATAGAACTTGTGTTATAGGTCCATAAAATAACTTTTTTTCGGGTAATGACTAACCGCCAATCACAATGCAAATAATGTTTTTGAAGTTAAAAAACCACAATGCTCCATGTTTGTAATACGGATTTTTTTTTATTTTTTTAACTCCGCGTTAATTAACCTACGTTCACGTGATTTATTGAAATGCGTTTGATCTAACCAAATGAAAATATTAAACAAAGATAACGTGTTACAACTTTTTTAACGAGTTAATTAACAATACCTACCATATAAATTTTATAGGTTAATTAACGAGTTAATTAACAAAAAATTGAACTGCATATTCTTTTTTATTACCAGAAAAAAGTATATAAACTCCCGCTGATTAGACTTGAAAAATCAAAAAAAGAAAAAAAAATTTTTATACTTTTTTTAAAAAAAAATTTAAAAAAAAAAATAATAATAATGGAACATACCTACGAAATTTTAAATGGATATCCTGAATACCCTCTTGAAAATAATAATGAAGTCATAAGTGACTTTATTAATGATTCGCTATGCGAAAACGAATCTGTCCCTCTCCCAACTTACCCACCACCAAAATTTCAAACTCGATGCACAATTTCTCAACAAAACAATAACCTTTCTATGTATCAAAAAATTCAAATGGTTGCTAAGACTATTAAGGCATTTGAAGAAAGCATTATTAGACAACTCGAACAAGTTAATGAACTTAAGGATCAATTAAATCAAATGAACCAATTTTTCATCGCACAACATCAACCACAACGAAAGCCTTCCGTATCTCGTCATATATACCGAAATCATGCTCCTAGACCTCATCCTTATTTGAATGAACGTCCTTTGATTTCTTCTCGTACACCAACTATTCGTTCTGCTGCGCCAACTTGCCGTCATGAATGTTTTACGACTGAACAACTCATTTCATCGAATAGTTTTCATCAACAACAAGTTAACGTTCCTGTTGAGACAGTTGATAATAATGAAGTTTTCTCCGCTGGTACTCAAAGCTATGAACTCTGGTAAAACTCGTAATTACAAGTTTGTCAAACTTGTATGTAGATAGATACTGTTGTTATTATACCAATTATATTAATTATATGAACTTTAATTTGATTATAGTCCTTTATTTTTGTTATTCTTATTTTATTTCGTTTTATATTTTCTTGTATTTTATTTTTAAGCATACTTTGTGACGTCACATAATAAGCTTTCATATGACATGAATCACATGAGTATAGATGGTACAAATGATCTGTCCCTTTTCTGTATAATAGTTTGATTAGAATAACCACACTTCTAAAGTAAAATAAAATTACTTTTGAGCTTTCGTAATTTCATAATTTCATCCCCATTTGATAAGTTTGTTACTTGGAAATATCAACTTATCGTGTATTATGGGAAAATCCCGCAAAGTAAAAACATCTCGATTAAAGGAAAAGTTTTCGAGTTCTTAAAATGTAAGAAGTATTATAACTAATAACTAATAATAAATAAAATGTTTGATTGGAATACGGAGAATAAATGCTGCGTCTTTTTGGAAGATGCACGGATCACCATTTTTTCCATATGGAGAAATTATTTCCCTAGATTAACTGATATAATTGATATAATGGAAATTTAGTTTTTTTAAGTAGTGAATTTAACTCCTTCTTTTCTTAGAAATTTACGTATATATCTCTCCGTAAATGCTTCTGCAGAACAAAGTGTTGTCCTTTCCGGCATAAATCCGGCTACATAATGCAAGCAATCCAAGTACATCATTATATTTGATATAATTATTTACACTAATAACATGGATGTATGTATACCAACGTTAACCAGTAACTACCTTTATCTCTTAAAGTGATGATAAAGTTAAAAATTATGCGTTCTTTCCATGGAAATGCTCTCGGGTATTTTATAGATTTCTTTACGTAAAAAAGGAATTTACAATTTGATTAAACTGTTTCATCATTTTCGGTAGCCACTTTCTTTTCATGTATAAACTAGGCTGTCCAAAAATGGTGAAACAAAATATTTAGAGATTATGAGTAGGAAATGGAACGGCAGATCATTCCAAGAAATGTAAGTAACAAAAGGGATGCCATTTTTGTCTGTACAGTATAGATAATGCCAGAGTAACTGTTATATTTTGTTTGATTTTTGTATTTGTAGAGCACATAATATTATATTATGATGGAAGCAATACGGACAGAAACAACTGAGTCTCGAAAATATTTTGACTCCTACTTTATTGTTGAGGAAAAATACTGGCCAAGTTGTTACGTACAAATGCAAAAACTTATTTATGTAATTAAAACCTTTCGGAAATAAGCGGAACTGATAAGGGTATCGTTCTCGAGGGAAAATGTTTTACTTTCGATGGCATGATTGGCATCAGTTGGTTGATCGTAACATTTTGTCGCAGTTTTGTCGTTGAAACGCAATTGCAGTCCAGTTGATAATTTTGTACTATTCCTGATAGCTCAGCTATTTTGATTTGGCTTTATACAGGTTCGTAATATTGCTTAGTTCTTGTTTTTTTTTGTTTCAAAAAACTATGTTTCGTAACTGGTCATTTTTATTTTTTTTTGACAGAATGCTACATAATGTGAAATGTACATCAGATCAAACGAAAATAAGACAATGTACCCTATGAAGATTACGGCTATCTTTAATATACACTGTGGTCAGTGTGGTAGCTGGTGTTTTGTCAATGTGACAACCAATAATTTCCGAACAAATTACTTAAGAATTTTCTTAAACACGTGATGAATAATTCAACCGTGACCACAGGTTATAATCTCACAGTTAGCTATTTTTTTTTATGTTCTAGTCATAGTTAGTTGCAACCCTTTGAATCATAAAGTCATTATTGGCATCAAAGCGTTTTTCTGCTATATTTTATGAAAAAGAAGGCAGAACGATAATTCCAGTGGAACTGGATTTCGCCAAAATTCCATCGCTACCTTGAAATCTGTTAAATTCTAAGAACGTATTCTTTCTCGGAATAGTTAGTTGAAAATAATAATGATAATTTAGTAATGCCGTTAAGTCAACTTTCACAACGGGAGAAATTTTATATTGATGCCTTGATGGTAAGACAAAACATACCTTTTTACAGTTACGTTCACGAAACTAATTCAATTTTGTATATAAATAGAGGTCTTAGGAACAAGAAAAGAAAAGAAAAAAGATGCAAAATCACAAACTAGTAAAATAGCGTAGCACCGGCGTAACTAAAAATATTTATCATGCATCGGCTTATAGTATTCGGTTATGTCCATGAAAAATCATGAAGACTGATCAACTCAAATCACAGACTATGGCTAACAAGACGAATTACAATATTTACAACACATTTAACAATATATAACAGTATAAGTATACTTTTTTCATTCTACATTCAATCAAGCTATACTCCAAAGAAATTCGGATTTTTAACCCGGAAAGTGGCCACATATAAGAACAATTCTTCTCATGAAAGATTTAGAAAAAGATTGATCTAACATTTGTTCGTTTTGGTAGTGAGTGGGGCAGTACTTTTATTCCAATCAATTCTTCGAAGTGTAATTCATTACGAACAGTTAATTCACATTTTATTGTTGAGACAAACGAAAAAATAAATTTGCCGTTAAAATAGCATAGTTTGTGTTGCTTTATAACGGTAGTATGCTTTTAGAAAGCAAATTCACAAATATATTCTTAAACTATTGAAATATTATTTATATTTTTTTGTCGGATATTAGTTATGTATATCTAATATATTATGAATTGTAGTAAGTGTAAATCGGAAATATAACATTACTTATTTTTTTTTTTTACCTCAGTTGCTAATTCCTGAATTTATGTTGTAGGTTCAAAATTACTTAATCTTGGTCCTTCGTTCACGTTTAATTTTGGATTTTCTTATTTGTAACATGCACGCGATTTTTTGCGGAGTTCAGTAGACGAAATTAAAGACAGAAATTAACCAATGAAATCGCTGAATCAATTCACGTGATCCTCCGTATAAAACGTGAACCTTTTTAACCAACTTGACTTGTTTCTCTACGCTCTAATGGCATCACAAAATATACCTACGCCTGTATGTGACCTGGCCATTTATTTATATTTATATTGGACTCCTGCAGCCGATACTTGGAAGAGGGACTTGCAACGAATAGGCTCATTACAATTGTAATCCCCTTAGATAGATTCGTTGCAATAGACTCGTTCAAAAATTCATTTGTCAATGCCACTACCGTGATTATCTTATAGTTCATATTTCTTAGTGACTAAATTATTCTAAATTTTTTTATAGTTAGATATTTCAGCGGGATTTCTTCCTATTCTAGTAACACTGAGATTGAAGCCTGGGGTTATATAGGTTGTCTTGAATATTTAGCAAAAGTGGGTGTGCATTTGACATTAGAAGATCGTGACGACATTCTTGGCAGATATAGAAATCATCTGCATTCAATATTCTCGTCTACATTAACACTTAAAAAAGCAAAAGACAAAGCCTATAAGCTGAATTATGCAGCGGAACGTTCATTTAAACGCGTAGAAGTTACCTCGTTTTTTAAAAAACTTGATACACTACGTTAATTAATGTTAATTAATCGTCGTTAAATCTGTGTATGTATATATATGTTGTGCCTCAGATCGATTCTTGCCTAGATCGAAGCTCACGCACCCCAGATGTGAGGTGCGTGAAGTGAAACATCAATCACCTGAGGTGCCTCAGATTCGATCTGAGGCAATTTTTTTTTTTAAAAAAAAAAAAATTTCAATTTAATTTAATTTTATTTTCACCTTTTCTTTAAGGTTGGTACCAGTTTTCTTTATTTTATATTTTCTTTTTAGGAACATTATTAACTGTTCCTTTTTTTTCTTACAGGAACTGCTATTTGGAATGGTTATTTTGGATTTTTTAAGGTAGGTGGACGCTTTATATATATATATATATATCTTGTTTTTCTTTATAGGAATGCCATTAACCATTCCTTCTTCTTTTTTCTTTACAGAAACCTCCATTTTCTAAAGTAAGTTCAAAATTTTTTTATATATTTTTCATTCTTAGAAATGTTACTAACCATTCTTTCTCTTCCTTTCTTTATAGGAATTGATCAGAACACTCATTGCAGTGTCAAGAATTAGTCTGAGAATTATATAATATTATATATGACAATTTTTTATTTTCACAATAAAAAATCTTTGTTTTATATGTATGGTCAAATGGATATAGATCAAATGGATATATAGTAATAAGAGTTTATGTTGTAGAAAACACAAAAGATTGATATTTGAATAGAAAAAATAATATTGTATTATGATTAATAAAAGGATTAGATTTAAAAAGGTAAATTCATAATGATGGTTAAATTAATTTATTGGTTTAATTTAATAGTAGAAGATACATAATTTTTATTACAAAATTTCTTAAGTTTAATAAAAAACTAATTTTTTACAATAAACTTTTTGTTCTTCCAACTTTTAAATTAAACCACCTATCACTATTTCAAACAATACAAATTAGTATTCCAACCAGTTACTATATGAAAAAAAAGAAAAGAAATGGTTAATAGTGTTCCTAAAAAGAAAAAACATAATGAAAAGACAAAAGAAAGTCCTTACCTACTATTCTAACTTCCAAATGGTATTCTGAGAAGTTTCTGTAAAAAAAAAGAAGAAATGGTTAATAGCATTTCTATAAAGAAAAACAAAAATATATATAAATAAAAAAGTGTTCACTTATTTTAAAAATCCAGAATAACCATTCCAAATAGTAGTTTCTGTAAAAATAAAAAGGAATATATAGTTAATAATGTTTCTAAAAAAAAAATATAAAGAAAAGAAAAAATAAAAATAAAGAAAACTGGTATCTATTTTAATAAAAAGATGTAAAAATAAAATAAATTAAATTGAAAATTTTTTTAAAAAAAAAATTGCTTCAGATTGAATTTGAAACATTTCAGATAATTGATATGCATCTCATATAATGATTTTAATTTAAGATGTGTAAGCTTTAGTCTGAAACAAAAATCAATCTAAAATACAACATATATATATAAATTAATTTATTTGACAGATTGACACAAATGTAACTAAAAGTCTTGCAAATGCCATTAAAAATCTTGTGAATGTAAAAGAAAATTTATATAAATCAAAACTGAAGGCATATGCATATAAATATATAACAAATTTGTAGAAAATACAGATGTAAAAGATAATCATTTATCCAAATGTTTTAAATAAGAAACAATAATTTTAAAAGAGAACAAAAAATAAGTATAATATTTTTTGTTATTTTTTTTGGTAAAATATTATTATTTGATAATAAAAATTTGAGTTCTTCTTTTTCTAATTTAATACAAATACATTATTTAAAGTAAATGATAATTTTTATGATATATTAATTAATGCAAATATGATAAAAATATTATAGTTTCTTTATAAATAATTGTATCAATTTAAGAGCAAAAAGATGATAATAAAAATAAAATGTAGAAAAAGTTAAAGAAAAATTATATTTATTTAACTATATAATATCTTCTTTTATTTTTTTTCTAAACCTTGTTTTTGTAATAAATATCAACTAATTTGTTCTTATTATCTCTTTTGAAAATTTATTATGTAAAAGAAACAACTTTACTTTATAAATAAGTTATAATAATTGGTTAATAATATTTTGACTATTGCTCATTTTTATTTATATTTTTTTTTTTAGCTTAATCAATTGTTTATTATAAATTTATCATTATTTTTAAAAATAAAAGGTGAATTTAGTGATAAGCAGTAGGCTGAGTTAGTTAAAAAAAAATCTAATGCAATTTAAAAAACTTATCATTACAAGATTAAGTCTTTTATTATAGCTAAAAAGTAAGAATTGCAAATTAGAAAATAAACTTAGTTTTATATAATGAATTTCTATTGACTTTTTCTTTTATTTTAAATAAATTTATTACAAGCTTATAAAAATGATATAAACTTAGAAATTTGGCTATTCTTATATATAATAATAGGTTTTCATATATAGAAGTTGATTGAAAAAAATAAAACATTAGGTGGAATAGGTAATAGGATAATTGTATATTATTAAATCATTATTTATTGTACAATATAACAAATTTTTGTTATAATATACAGTCAACTCTCTATAAATGCACCCTCTATAAATGCATACCTCTATAAATGCATCTTTATCTAGTTCCAACTTGGGTCTTAATGTTAAATGTATGGTTTATATATATAAATATTCTGTAAATGCATCCTTTATAAAAAAAATGTTATATAGTTTACTTATAAAATTTTTGAATTACCTTAATTTTAGATTAATATCATATAGATTTATATGTATTCTATAAATGCACACCCTTTTTAAATGCATTTTTATATCTGGTAATCATTTTTTATTTTATTATTATAATTTGGATGCATTTAAGTTCTTTTAAAATCTACTATAAAATGACTGTTATAAATAAAAGTAAACTGTCAACTATATCATTCCTTTAATATAAAAAACTTTAAAATTAAATGGAAATTTTATGTTTTATGGTAAATTGTGCATCTTTTCATTTATTATACATGTATAATATAAGATTTTCTTTTATTTTAAATTTTGTAAAAAAAAAAGGTTTCTATTCTTACAACTCAATCCATTAAAATAATAATAATATACTTACTGAACAAGTTGATTGAATTATCAGGTAGATATCTATATAATTATAAGCCATACAAGGTTGCTTTTATATTAACTATAGTAAACTATATTCTTATGATCTAACCAAACTTGTTTTAAATAAATTTAATCTTTCATAAATTATAAAAAATATGCTTAATGATTTAAAATCAAAATTTCTTTATACTAGAAAACATCTATATATATATTATTAGAATTCAAATATAATAATAATTACTCATATATAAATATATGTAAAGAAAATTTGTACTTACATATTTTATTTATATTTTCTCAAATATATACAGTCAACCCTTGTTATAATGAATCCTAAGGTCCAGACTTTAACTTCGCTATAAGACTATAGTGAAGATTTTAAGAGATTTGATTGGTTAATTCATTATAGTGAGGAAAAATTTATTATAATTGTTTGAAAAATTCACTATATCAAGGGTTCGCTATATCAAGGTTTAACTGTATAACAGATAGAAGTTTAAATCTATCTGATAGAAAAATGTGAAATATATTTTTTTTATTATTTAAAATTATTTAATTTTTCATTTACATTTTTAGCTTATCATTATCTGAAATCTGCATTAAAAGTGATATGAAATATTTTGATTTTTTATACTAAAAATCTGGAATAATGACATTTTAACTAACTTTATTTCATTAATAATTACAGGGCTTAATAGAATTCTGGAAAATATATAAATAAGTAAGATCTCAAATTGCTTAGAATTTGCCAAAAAAATTGTGTAAAGCTTTTCTTTTTAGATAATATCAGCCAGAAATTTAATTTTCTAATTTAGAAACTGGCTAGTATTATTATAATTCTGACCCTAAAAAAATGTTTAAAGTTCATAGTAAAAGTTTTTTGACTGGATCTTACCTATTTATGTATTTTTTGGAGTTCTGACTTAATTAACTAACTTCTTAGTTCAGAAATTTGATATTATTTGATAATAATAGATTTAGAATTCCTTCTATAATATTGTTAAATAATAAGAAGTTTTAAAAAACATCACTAAAATAATTAAAGAAAATATTAATAAATGTAAGTGTTGAATGATTATTATATTTAATATAATAACTATAATTTACTTGAATTACACAGGTCAAAAAGTGAAAAATCAGGTATCAATTAGTCACCAATCGGTCACCAATCAGGTAGCTAATTGGTGACTGATTGGTAACTGATTGGCATTTTCGCTAAATACTATCACCAATCAGACAATTTGCTAACTTTTGATCCAGTGATCAGAAAAGGATAAAATATAGCTCATTGGAATCATCTTAACAAGATGAATTTAATGGTAGTGTAGTAAAATCGCATTTTTAGGATTAATAGTTAATAAAAAATTAAATAAAATATAAATAATATATTTTTATTTTTATATTTTACTTAATTTCCCATCAAGTATTAATCCTAGAAATGCAATTTTACTACCATTAGATTCATCTTGTTGAAACGATTCCAATGAGCTATTTTCTGATCACTGGATCAAAAGTTAGAAAACTGTCTGATTGGTGACGGTATTTGACAAAAATACCAATCAGTCACCAATCAGTCACCAATCAGCTACCCGATTGGTGACCAATTAATGACTGATTGATGCCTGATTTTTCACTTTTCGACCTGTGTTATGAGTTATTATTAGGTATATATTATATTATTAATATTAAGATTACTTACCTAAATCTCTCCAAAATCCTACAATTAGTTTTTTTAAGATTTTACTATAGTTTTATTATAGTTTCAGCAAAGTTTGTTAAGTTTAGCTTTTCTCCAGATTTTACCAACTTTTTAATAAAACTTTCATATAATTTTGGCAAAGTTTTGCTATTTCAGCATTTTGCCAATTTGCTAAAACCTTTAGTTTTTCCAGTACAGCAACCTTAATTAGTATCATATGATATTTTAAAAATACACAAATGTATATAGGATAAATAAATTTTAATACAAATTGGCATTACAAAAAAAGTGCATTCAAATTTTAAATCCTTAAACTTTTACAAAAATAATATAAATAGTTCCATTGGTACAATATGCAATTGATTATAAAGTTTTAAGTTTATTTAATAAGATCCAATTCTTGAAGATGCTCTGGAATAACTATATATGAATCTTTGTAATACCAAACATTCTAATTCTCTTTGCATAATTCTTTGAGTTGATCCTGTATGTACTTGCTGTTTGATAAAATTATTGGAATTGCCTTTATGAAAGAATTCTATATATTTTTCATGCTATTCTCCTTGTAGTAGGCTTGTACTTTGATTGCAAATCCATATTCATATTAGAGAATATCAAGTTCTAAACCTGTTGGATATTCTGATGTAAGTTACCATCATTACAAATGGTATACATGACTGCCTGTTATTAAAAATTTGAGGTGTGACCGTGTGACCTAATTTCTATTATCTATCCCTATAAAAAAAATTCTGGAAAAATTCTGATAAATGATCATTTTTCTAGTTTTATTCCGAAGAAACTCAGACACGTGATCATGTTTTTGAAAAATTTTTTATAGGTTAAATCATTCAATAATCTAAAAAGCGAACAAAACCTAAAAAAAAAGTGAGTTCAAATCTTGATATCCGTATTTTTCTTTTATCACTCATGATACTAGATCCATTGTTGTTTATAAAGGGTAAATCTAATTATTCGTGCGCTGGTGTCACAAAGAAGTATGTGAGATCACTCATGGTTATGCGTGAATCGTTAGACGTTAATGATTGATTGATCCTTTTTGGAAATAACGTAGCGCACATTCGCGTTTGCTTAGGTTGTGAAGTTATCATAATGATGGCTTGCCGTTCTAGATATCATTATCTGAGACTTAAAGCGTGGAGGTATCCATAGTTATACTGAGGAATTGAAGAGACGTCGAAACGGCGTCTGACTTTGTAATCAAGGAGGTTAGTATTGTAAGTGTCACGATAGTGGATGCGAGGATTACCTGGCTTTCAGGTGATATCATCCATCACATGTATTAAAAAAACAAATTTTTAGTCATGTGATCTTGCATAATAGTTCATGGATTTCGTATTTAACTTTTGACATTCCTTTCTTATCCTTTCAATCCTTCCTTTACATCATTTAACCTTACACACTTTTGTACTATCTTAGCAACCATGTTTTTCTACGGATAGTTTTTCTTTATAATAATAGGCAATTATTGTTGGACAAAGGATACGTCGTCGTTGATTTATTTACATAATTAAATAAAAGGCTATAATTTCATAATTTCTTAAATGCAATTTATACGGCACAATAATTTAAATTTTATTAATAATAAGTATAAAATCATATAAATGTAAATATAAATCATATAAATTAGATAAAATGAACGAAGAATAATCATTCTAAATTGTTGTATAATCAAAACTTATATCTTATATATAATAACTATATCCACTATTTGTATTCAAGTTAAAAAAACTTGTGAAGTTTCATTTACCAGAATTCATAATTCTGGGTACCTGAAGGGGAGATTTCATTATTATCAGTTGTCTCAGCAGGAGTGTTATGAAGACTATTCGATGAGGCGAGTTGATCAATCGTAAAGTATTCATGTTGGTAAGTTGGTGCAGAAGAACGAATAGTTGGCGTACGAGAAGAAACTAAAGGACGTTCATTTAAATAAGGATGAGGTCTGGAAACATGGTTTCGGTATATACGACGAGGTAAAGGTTGTTGTTGCGCGATAAAAGATTGTTTCATTTGATTTAATTGATTTTTTAGTTCATTAATTTGTTCAAGTTGTCTATTAACATTTTCTTCAAATGCCTTAATAGAATTAAAAAACCTTTGGAAATTTTGGTATATAGGAACGTTATTATTTTGTTGAGTAATTATGCACTGAGTTGGTACCAGTGGTGGGTGTGTTAAGAAAGGAGCAGATTCACTTTCGTGTGGTGGATCATTAATAAAGTTGTTAGTGACTTCTAGAGGGTATTCGGGATACCCGGTTGAAATCCCGTAAGTATTTGGCATAATTATTATTAATTGTCTTATTTTATTTATTAATTTTTTTTTTTTTATAATTATTATATTATTAATGAGCTAAATTATTGAAAGAAATAAGGAATATTCGGGTTTGCTATATACGCATTCATGCGCATACTATGCNGTATATATATTGTTCTTTCAAAAATACCAGTTAATATTATATAAATTTCACACAACATCAATGATTTACCATCATTTTAAAAAAAACTTTATGGCATATATATACTGTATATTGATTCAAATTATCAGCAATATTACATAATTTTACACAACACCGATTTTCCTTTTTCAGTTGTACAAAATTCTGATAATTTTAGATCGACATTCTAATAACTAATCTTCGTTGAAGTAACCACCGGAATTACCTATAATGAAGCACACAGTATTGTAAAATCTTGAAATTATATCAGGAGATCTTAATTTTTACCAATGGCTGTACGCAGGGGATTTTAATAAGGTTTTAACATCAAATAGCTGTATTCCTTATGAGGGTTTATTCATATATTTAATTTTAAATTCAACATTTTGCTGAAATAAAAAACCTAAAGAAAAAAATATACTTTTCTAATTACTTTAAATCTAATTTAATTTTCAAACTCAAATATTAAAATAACTAATCGCCGACTTTTTATTTTTACATTGAAATCATAAATGAATAAATAGTATTATCGTATATCACGGGCTATAGTACCCCCCCCCCCTTATGTATAGTACCCCTCAAAAAAGAAATCATTCTAATAATCCAACAAATACCTTAGGTGTGACGACTGTGACGTGTAACAATACTCTAATTATTTTATAAGTTTAAACCCCCCTCTATTAATAGTAAAAATTCGCGTAATAGGGGGCGTAATTATGATAATCAAAGAAATTTCCTAATTTCTTGGCGGTGAAATCCGCTTAACCCGTTTTGGTTGCCATAATTTGTTAATTTAGTATGATTAATTAGATGATTAGAGCTTCAATACTGAAATTGGAAAATTTGGTCCGAATACTCCATTCAATTATAATAGATATGATTACGGTGTCGTCTATTATAAAATTCGGTCTGACCACTGACCGCATCAGCAAACCGTTATGCATTTATTTTTTCGAATCCTGAATCTCAAATCCGAAAGCTATGCATGTATAATTCGTTGGACGTCCGCTAGTATTTGTGAACTTTATTTAGACGTTTTCTAATTTTTAGAATGGTTATAACGAATTAAAAAGTAATCTTATGAATAAAAAAAAAAAATCGATTATCGATTTCTCCTTATATCGCGTGTGTGCCTGGCACAGCGATGAGTTACGGATTAGGTTTTGATAATTTAGAATTGATTTTGGAAGATCGGAATTGTTGGAAATAATTTAGGGATTCTGTAGGAATTTAGGTTACGGGTTAGATTTGTAAATACTTTCAGAGATTTTGTTATCCACGTTTAGACTCAATAATTTTACTATTATGCTAGCGCATAAATAATAGTTATTGGGTAGGGGGGTTGAAATATCACCGAACTGCGAAGCAGTTCGGATGATATTTTAACCCCCCTACCTAATAACTGTGTTATTATGCAGACGTCCAAGATCATGTTCCATATGAAAAGCATAGTAAATGTGTGATAATAATCTATATGACGTAATGCGTCAAAAATATCAAAGATATTTACGCAATGATAGTTTATCTAAAAAATATCAGTATGTTAAAAACAACATGATCCTATTTGGCTGCATAATAATAACATTTATTATTTTTAATAAAAGTAATTGCATTTGAAAATACTATTGTTAATATCAGTTCAGAACCAATGAAATAATGGAGATACGATCTAATACATATACTAAATACATAATTGATCCGTAATACTAAAATAGAAAATCACATTTTTTAATTTAATTGTCGTACTAAATAAATTTTTTATTACTAGTGTCAAAAGACAAATTCTTTTATCCCATCGGTAACAGCCACAATTATTAAAGTGAACAAAGTATAAACGATATTTTTTTTTTATTCTTATTCTATCTTAAATATTTTCTAATTGATATTTGTGAAGTTATGAAATTTTATGTCATACATTGAAATATATTAAATATCTAATATCTAGTGTTTAGGTGATTACGAAGTTAAAAGAGTAATAAAAATGTAATAAAAAATATGGTTACGGTACGATCATTTCACCGACATGAAATTACTGCCGACATGGAAAATTACCTAATTTCGTTTTGCCGACTTCAAATTAATTGTGATAATCGGAATTGCTCAAATAATAAAATTTTACTTCCGTCATTTGTAAATTAACGTATAAACGCAAAAGTTCATTTTGCCAACAACAGATGAATTCCCTAGTCTTTAAAAATCACAACCACAGTATGAGCTAGGGAGAAGATTAAGAAACTTCTAGCTGATAGACAAATGTCAAATCAATCTGTATAAGAAATCTCATTTATTATAAGTTCATTGTTCAAAATACAACATTTTAAAAACATTTACTGTACGAAAGTATATCTACCCTAAATAGAATATAAAGTAAAATACAAATCATTCAACATTATTTTTTTTAATTTAATATATACAATGAATATGTTTAATAATATTTTATAAAATGATTACACAAGTTATAATACAATAGCAGATAAGCCAATAATATTACCGAACGAGTAAACTTGCATAAGATCTTTAATTTATAATGTAATTAATATCCATTTTGCTTGAGTAGACGAATACATTATATATTAGAATCATACATATGGCGGTAATAAATATTTTGTATACAACAAAAAGAATATACTTACTTACGATTTCTCTTCCCTATAAATGAGAATACATTTTATTGAGCATCTAAAAATTAATCTAATAAGTAATTTTGAAAAAAATTTTATTACTTACTTTTAATTTTCTTAATAAGTCGGCGATATCTTTTTTTACATTCATGAGCGTTCTTTGATCCCAATAAAATTGCTATTTGTTCCCAATCATCATCAAATTCATTCACGTACGAAATAAGGTATTGAATCTCCTATTTAATAAAAAAATTTCATTTAATGCGAACAATTTCATTTTATACATGCACATATATATTTATATTCATACACTGTTGGTAAGATGATGGTGTTGTCGATGCATCGTAATATTGATTTTTTTTTTTCGAAAAAATTTTTTTTACAAGGATAGAAAAATGATGTTTATATATATAAATAATCGAACTATTACGTACGAACAATATAACAATCATTAATATTGTAGTATCCATTGCGAAATATTTCATTTGAAAAGTGTTTTTTGGAACGATTTATCTGGATATCTGATAAATTTCATGTTAAGTAGCCAATCAAAATGTGGCATATTGGGCATATAACTTATCTGTTCATTATTTTTGACGTGTCACAATTGTCACAACTCACATGTATGAGAGCAACTAATTAGACGGTTAAACAACATCTGCATTGCTATTCGATCCGAACAATTTTTATTAGAGATCAGCGTTAACTGTTAATAATTTTCTGAAAGGGACATGCACATTTCAAGTTGGTCACATGAGTAGATCAAGAAGAGTAGATTATGCATTTAATGTTCAAATGACGTATTGACTTATCCATACCAAATTTGAAAAAATATTTGATTCATGTACTACAATTAGATTAAATAAAGTTCATTTTGGGTCACAATTCACAAAATGTCGAGTTTTATTTATCTTCAAACAATAACAAGTTTAGATTTAACAATGCATACTGCATAAATAAAAAAAATAAAATGACGCACGTTACGACTGAATATTTTATTAAACCCGAAAGAAATAAAAGGAGCAAATTAAAGATATTCCAAAATCTCATTTAATAACTAATACTTTAGTAAATAGTATATTATCACAAACAATTATTATCTATATGACAGAACTGATTTGAATAATTATTAATTTTTCTAGAAATTACGCCCACGGAAATACTATATATGATGTGCTTATTGTTTATTTAATGAATTAAGAATTAATTGTACTAATGTACTAACTGTATCACATTTTGGTAAATCTCATTTATAAATTTCAATTTTTCATAATCTGATTAATCAGATCTCAGCCCTTATCTATTGGTTAAATGATGCTTGCGGTAGCACAAACAATTTGAGTTTATTTTATTTAAAATCTGTTTAAGTAATCTATTTATGTTGCACATTTACACTAACTTAAATTGGGCATACAGATGGTTTGGCAAAAGATTGATTTCTTAGGTTTTTTATTTTTTTATAATTTTAATTCTGGCCAAAATTAGTTAGTGTTATGGTGTTCGAATATTAAGTAATTTAATATATATTAAACCAACACTTATTCATAAAACATATAAGTCATAACGTGTGTTTATTTGTGTACCATATTTACTGATTATTTACTTTCCAAATTTATGAAATTTTAAAAATAAAGTATTAAAAATCGTTTTTTCTTTCTTTTTTCGCATAAAATCTTTTTTTTTTTTTAAAAAAAAAAGGGTTTTCCTTTTCAACACACATATTGCATTCTTTTTTTTTTTTTTTTGTTATTATTATTATGCTATTGAAAATATAAATATATTTTTTCTTTTTCTTTTTCTTTTTCTATTTTTTTATACATATTTTCGTAAAAAAAAGGACATTATTAATCATTTTAATCAATTTTTTTTTTATATTAACAAAATGATATTTCGATACGTATTCAAATTGAAGTCATTTTTAATTTTCTTTTTCTTTTTATACGTATTATCAAATATAATTGTTAATGCTGATGATACTAATGAACTTCGAGTTGATAATAATAAAAGAGATGTTTTACCGGAATCTAATACTTTTGCAGAAAGAGGTGAAATAACCGAGGTAACTGAGGTAGTTGACAAAGTAGATGAGAATGCTGAGGTATAATTTTTTGGGGGAAAAATAAATTGTTTCATGTTATTCTTGGAAAATAACTTATTTACAACTGTTTTTTCTTAATTTTTAGTCACAATTAGTTAAAGTTGAAGCGGAAGATCCTGATCTTGTTGGATCAGTACTTGATATTAATCTTAAAGAAGCAAATAAAGTTCAAGCTGGAATTAAACCAAGTACACCTATTCTTAGTTTTGAGGATACAAAATCATTATTAATGAGTACAATGATGATTGGTGTATCAGAATTAGGAGATAAAACTTTTTTTATAGCGGCTATAATGGCAATGAAAAATTCTAGATTTATAGTATTTTCTGCTGCTTTTTGTTCATTAATCCTGATGTCAGTTCTTTCAGCTGCTTTAGGTTACGCTTTACCAAATTTAATTCCACGTGAATATATGAATTATCTTGCTTCACTTTTATTTTTATGTTTTGGTATCAAAATGGGGTTTGAAGGTTATAATATGTCTGGTGAAGAAGCTGAACATGAAATGGAAGAAATATCAGAAGAATTATTAGAAAAAGATGAAATTGAACGTATCGAATCCGCTGAAACTGGTGGTGTAGCTGATGAAACAAATAATTCGAGCTTTAAAGAAGGATTGGTTAATTTATGTCAATTTATATTCTCTCCCGTTTTTGTTCAAACTTTTATACTCACATTCTTGGCAGAATGGGGTGATCGTTCTCAAATTGCAACAATCGCATTAGCTGCTGCACAGGTAACTAATTATTCACTTTATCATCATCATCATCATCATCAATATTATTAATTTCCTGGCAATAAATAATTACTAACTAATTTTATTTTGGCGTAGAATGTTTACCTTGTAACAATGGGTGTTATTATTGGTCATGGGTTTTGCACATGTCTTGCAGTTGTTGGGGGAAAATTTTTGGCCGCAAAAATTTCTGTTAAAACAGGTATTAATTTTATTATTATTAATTAATTAATACGATTTTTCCGTATTAATATATTAATACATGTTACTAACTCATAATTTTTAATTATAGTTACGATTATTGGTTCAATTCTTTTCATAGCATTTTCAATTATATATTTTTATGAGGAAATGACTAAAATTAATTAAAAATTTAAAATTGGATTGAGATTTATTTCAAAAATGAAAATATATTCACAAGATTTTACATCATAATAGTATAAATCTAAAAATATAATTATATGTAAAACAAAAAGGCACAGATTTAATTATGTATCTAGTTTATTATAGAATAAAATGGATAAACAATCATTACTTAGTATTATTAATACTTAATATTTATTTAAATATTTGTATCACTCATACAAAATTTTCAAAAAAGATAATTTTTTATTTTATAGTATATAGTAAAGAAAAACTACAATAGTTGTACCGCTTGTTTGAGTCGGACTTGATAAATATCTTACTTACCTAATCACGATAAAAATTCTAATGTAGCAGGTTGACAAATAATACTTGTTATCTTTCTAACTAAAACAAATTTTTTTATTTTCCTTTGTTCACTATAATAGAACATCCACATATTAATATATGAAATAACTATTTAACTACATTTTAAATATCAAATAATTCTAACTTAAATACTTACCTTCTTTGAATTTTTAGTAGATCCAAAATACCAGTCACTGAACAACATCCAATTGCAAATCCATGTCCTTGACTAAAAGAAAATTGGCCCGTTGTGACATAACCAATTATGTCAGACTTGGGAGGTAATGGAGATGATTGAACCTAATTATTTAATAAATAACTACATTAATATTTAATTGTGCTCGGATTCACGCGTAATAATCCATACATTGCGTTAATTACCTTCTCTGTACCTTCTTGACCCGAACCAATTTCTATATTACTTGAATTATTTTTTTTATTTTTGAGTACATTGGCCCAATAATCATACTTATTCTTATCGGCCTTATATATTATAGCATTTGGTCCAGGTAATCCCCTTGCCAAGAACTCTATTCTAACACGTACGAGCGCTTTACTCATATCAACTTCATTTTCAGGGTTTATATCTCTGGAATTAAATGTTTGCATAATTTGTGTAGAGAGCGCCTGGCTAAATTCTCCACTTAGATTTTCGAAATTTTCAAGTAAATGAATATTTTTTGTTCCCTGGAGTAACCATGGTATTTGGTCTTTAGGCTCTTCAATTATATCCATGGAATTCACTTCGAGTATCTTATCAAGTGATTTGGTTTGATCTATTTTTATTTCTACCAGCTGGTAAAAAGGTTGTTCGAATGGTGAATCGACTTGAAGTTTTTTAAAATTTGGACGCTTTGCAGGTGGACGAGCGTTATATTCCAATTGTGCTTTCTTTTTCTGTCCATTAGAAAAATTCTCAAATGATTTAGTACCAGGAAAATCATATGGAAAACATGATATACCTGATTCGAAATGATGGTTATGACGCTCCCGCAATCCTAATAATATATAATTATTCAAAAGAACTTACATTATAAACATTGAATAACCTTATAATTAATACTTACCCCCGACCCATGCACCCGCAAAAATAAAACTTTTCCAAAAAGCCATTCCCCAGCCTGCAGGTAAAACAATATTCCAACCACCAATAAATTCTGGTGATGATGTCTTTCTTACTGATTGAGCCGGCATGTTAATTCCATCACGTTGTATTAATAAGATTGGAATTAGAGAATCTTCCGGTTGTAATAGTAACTTTTGTCCCGGAACAAGCAACTACCACGCCATAAAAATAGATTTATTAAAAATCATTCAAAGTTTTTATGACATTAAATTTCTTATGATACACACTTTACTTCTGCGTTTATCTAAATCACCGTCAGAAACTTTACTGTCACGTAATGCATTCCGAAAATTATCATTCCATAAATCAGAATATGCAACATTTTTAGGCCAATTAGCCAAAATATCTTGTACGTCTCTTTCCGATCCAACAGGTATTATATTTGAACGCGGTGGAACTTTCTTTGGGAAACTACATAACGCATTTTGTTCGATAAATAAAATACTATAATTATTATTTAGAGAAATAAGAATACACCAACCGTAAGCGTGGATCAAGGACCGTTAATCCTAATACAATGCTAGGAGGTAATGACGTAGATGTTCGCAAGTCGCGCAAGGATCTCCATACCTAAATTGAATTATATTGTTACATTTAATAATTATTTGATTGATTCTCAAGTTGAAGAAGTATCTAATTATATTATTACCCTATGCGCCTCATCATTTACGTGTGGCTTTAACAGCATTCCATTGGAAGGAACGCTAGACTCATCATATATATCCAGAACCTCTTGTAACAAAGCTGTTGATCGTGGACCAGTTAATTCAAACATCAGAAACTCATCTTGAAGATTTTGAATTGATATAGCTATTAAATAGTAAAAATAGTTTAGAATTGGGGTGAAAAGTTATTTAAACAGATCTCGATTATTCAGATGCTTCTCACCATCTTGTAACTTCAACTGTTCACATGCAAATTCCAAAGTTGTCAACACTTCCTCGAAAGCGCTAGGATGAATCCAAATGAGAGTATGTCGGTTGTCATCCTCTGTATCAATTGGCATCCAAAGAAGGTTTATTGGTGTTACCAAATGAGTTGGATACTTCAAATAAGTGTATATGAATGTGGAACATTGCCGTTTTCCACTTAAATATCTATAATTATTTTTAAACGCTGATCACTATTTCTGACAGGTTTGGTGTCGAGTAACTTTTAGCAAATCCCATGACAAAATACAAACATTAAATTACAAACCTTTCACTTCCTATAGATGGTAATGTTGGGTCAGTGACACTGTTAAACAACTTTACAATATTATTAAGGTCGCCAGATATTTTTATCCATCCAAAGTATGAGACATCATGAATAATTGAAAGGTGTTCACTTGCTCGATATGATGCCTTGATGCTTTTTTCATTTGGATGTTCTGCCTTAATTCAAAATAAAAACCTATTAGGAATAGATCAAAATTTTATGGTAAAATAGATCTGACGATTACCAATTTATACCCCCATATTTCAGTCATCTTCATTCGTTTAGAATGCCACATATGGGTTTCAAGCCACTTTTTATTACCTACAATAAAATTAAAAAAAAAGTTAAATACACATTGATAAAAAACGATTAGTATAATTACCTACTAACCTTGTCGTCTCTTATATTCAGCAGATAAGGAACCCAGACGCCTTCTTTTGCGTCTGTTCTGTTTTTTTGGAGCAGTATTATCTAGTTCCATCTAAATTTACATAAAATCAGTTTTTAAATTTATTGAATAATAAAGTACAATTATTGAACTCACCTCATCAATTGCTTTTTTTCTCAAACGAACAGGTAATCGTTTGACATTATGACTTGCAGCGCGGCGTCGAAGGTGGCGAGGTAGAGTTTGAGCAGCCCTAGAGTTTTTAGCTTGACTAAGTATAACAAAGATGAAAATTTCAATTTAATGAATTGACTTCCTTAGAAAATTAACTAGAGATCAAAAAGTGAATTAAATTATTTACTTCGCTCGTTCCAAAGCATCATTCATGGCATTGATTTCAAAAGCTCTCGCCTAAATAAAGAATAGATTTTAATCTTTAAAATAAATTAAGCAAATAATGACAATAATTAATATTTAGATACCTCCGCAAAATCCACGACATCAATAGTTCTTGGAATATAGTTTGCTAAAAATTCCAGAAAATGTTATCAAAATATTTTATACTTTAAACGATTTTGAGTATGATAAAAGAATAAAATAAAATTTCTTGTACCCTTATGAGAACTAGTATCTTCAGCAGTGAAACCATGTGTTTCGATTGTTCTTTGAACAGCAGTTTTGGCTGAAAGTTAAAACATTTATAAGAGTCAATATAAAACCTTAATAAATAAAATCATTAAAGAAAAAGAAATATTGTTTGTTAATTCGCCTCTTTTTTTGTCTTTAGAAGTATTGTTGTCATTACTGGCTCGTTTCTTCATTTTTGATATTTGTAATAATGTTGGATTGTGTATAAAGAAGTATCTATGGTAGATAATCGGTCATCAATATCACGTGGATGAAAATTTATATTTCGATTTGATAAATAATTTTAATATGAATTATGAAATCTATTTCGTTGTAGATCATGTAAGAACAAGCTAATCAAATTAATTAATGATCGGTGCCAAGATTGATGTAATTCTTGTTACACGACATTTTATATGATATATATATATAGAAACATTTAATCGAGAAAAATGCTTTCACTACTTTTTTTTTTAAATCGACAAATAATGAACGAAATACAAAATTCATCGTCATCATCATCTACAATTCTTGATGACAAACCCAGTAAAATAAATATTTCAAAGAATTTAGTTTTAGTTGATAATAATATAGAAGAAAATGATGATTTTGGTGAAATTATTCAATATAAAGAAAATAAAGAAGTTGAAAATTCATCAATAGAATTAGGAGAAAAAAAAGCTGTTGTTTTGTCGATTCTTATCCCGTTTTCAATAATTGGTGCTCTTATTCGTATCGGTCTTAATATCCTTCATTCATATCCTGGGTCACCAGTGTTTTCATTAATATACCCACAATTTGTTGGCTGTGTAATAATGGGTTTTTGCTTGGCAAGAAAAGGATTTATAATGGAAAGGTAGGAAAAAAATTTTCTTTATTCATACAAATCAAAAAGGTTATTTAAACTTTTCCACTGTTCTGTGATTTGTTAGCTATCTTCCTTTATATATAGGACTCACGACAGGTCTTTGTGGGTCCATAACAACTTTTTCTTCATGGATTCTTTCGATATTCAAGGAATTTATTTTACCTTCTACTCCTCATCGTGGTGATTTGTACAATGTGCGAAGATCTTTAAAACCTCATGGATATCTCAAGAAGTAAATCCAGTTTACCTTATTGTTTTATTTCGCTTTCAGATTCTTGCAGCTCTTGCGGACATTGGAATTACATTAGGAATGTCCGTGACAGGATTAAAATTTGGAGAACATATAGCAGATATAATAATTCAAAAACGTAAAATTCAATCTGAGAGGCTGTATCATATTGCTGAAAAACCTTCTAAATTAAATGAATTAATTATTCCGGATTTTATATGTTTTGGAGTTGGAATTGCTTCAATTGTTCTCGTAGTTACTTTATCCAGTACAATGCAAGTAAATAGGAGTGTATTATTTGCTGCTGTTTTTGCTCCAATAGGTATATTATTCATACTTAATAATGTAATATACCTTGATCATACTATAATAATAAATTTTTTTTTTTTTATTTTAAGGTACTTTGATTAGATGGTATTTATCCAAATATAACGCAATAAAAAAATCTTTTCCATGGGGAACTTTTGCCGCCAATATATCAGGTTCGATTATTATTGGAATATTATTTTTTTTAAGCAATGGTGTAGCTTCTTCGAAAACGAGTTGTGAAATAATCAAAGGACTTTCTGATGGATTTTGTGGTAACTTTTTTCAAATTTAAATAAAATATATATTTATCTATTATTTTTAACTTTTTATGCGGTATTTATAGGATGTCTAACGACAATTTCTACTTTTGCCGTAAGTTTTTAAAAAATTATTACGATCGTTTTAAATGTTAACATTAGTTTTATTTTTTTCTTTATTTTTTATTAGACTGAAATTAAAACGCTACCAAGAAAACATGCGTACATATATGCATTTATTTCTATATTAACGGGTCAAATTGCAATGATATTAACTATCGGAATATATCATTGGGTTGTTGGCTTATCTACAACTTGTTCAGCATAGAGATTGTATTTAGAAATGTACAACAACGAACGATTGTTAATATTTAATATTTAATATAAAAATGGGAGAACTCTATTAAAAATTTGAATTTTAAATTTTTTCCTTTTTTTTTTTTTTTATAAAATAATGATGTAAAAAATATAATAAATTAATAATACTATTAAAATACAATAATACTTAATACTTAAAACGAAAATTTAAAATTATTTTTTTTTTTTTTTACTAGTAACTATACATAAATTTATTCTTCTCTGACTTGAGTAACCTGAGGGTTAGTATCATTTTGCCAAGCTTCTTGTTTTCGTTTTATATCACCAGTCATTCCCTTTACTTTAGTACGCGCGACATCAGTAACTTGTTGGCGAACTTGGGCTTCAGCTTTAATAATATTATCTTTTAAGTAATCGATACTCTTAACCAATTTCTCAGTAATCAAATTAGCAAATTGTTTTTTCAAACGTTTTTCAACTAAAGGAGTCAAGACCGTGTACAAGAAACTATGAAAAACGACAGAAAAATTAATAATTGTGATAAATAAACACATACATTACAATTTAATATTAAATAGAAGGCTTACTCATGCTTAGTATCATGTAAACGGATTTTCAAATCGTCAATGATTGTATTAGCCTCTAAAACTCTGATGTCAAGTTCTTGATTTTTATCGGTAGGTGGGTTCATCAAGACTTTCAATTTAATTGTTAATCCATTCTTTGGGATAGCAAAATCTACCAAACCAACCTAAATAAAGAAATCATATTTTAATCGTTGTCAATCATATTTATCAGGACATTCCATGATTTGTTACTCACATCCATCATGTTAATGAGACCTTTCTTCTTCTTATAATAGAATGCGATGTTGCGAGCATCAGCATTTATTTTAGAACTAAACAATAAAAATAAGTTAGATATAAATATAATTATTGATTTTGTATAATCATTGAACGAAACTTACATTTCGAGGAATGCGGTGTTTTGTAGTATATCTTGTTCGTTTCGGCCAAGATTAATATCTGTCGAAAAGTTCACGTGTAAGTGACTTGGTAAAACTTCAGCGAGATAAAGAACGATATTATCGAATATATAATCATATTCTTCATCAGAACTATAAATATCATAGATAGTATATATTAATAAACAAATATAACATGCATTTTTAAATTTTTTAAAAAAAAACAAAATTCATACTTTTCAATTCTTGGAAGAGGCAAATATTTCAATCTTTCTCCGATTACTGGTAAAATTTTATTGAAATCTTTGAGAAGTTCGAACTTAATGGTTGGTTGACTATTTTCATTCAAGAATAAGTCTCCAATTAAAGTTTCAAAATCTTTAGACCATTGAGTTGTTAAAACATCATCTTGCAAGGCTGAATTGAATTCCTTAGCTTCATCAACTATACGTTGAGTGTCATCAGAGTAACGTTCAAGTAATAAATATCTTCCAGTTTCGATAAGTTCTGAACCGCGGTCGACGTAATTTGTCTCTTGAACAAAATTAGGATCACGTAATGACGAGATGATAAATTGTCGGAGTTCACTAAAATACTTTCTCAACTCTTCATCACGTTTAACGATTTTACCGAGATCTCTTATTGCATTAATTAAAGGATCAAGCGATTTATGATTTGCGAAATTTTCAACTAATTGTTTAGCACTTTCTTGAGCTGTTTGTAAGTCTGATTTATCGGTAGATTCTTGAGCTTGTGCTTTTGCGGTCTCCTTTACTTGACCGGTGACTGATTGAGACTTTTCACTAAGAAGAGAGATGATATTAATGAGATCCTCGAGAACCTCTTGATATTCTTGTCGTGATTGAGTTTCAATCATCACATTTTTGAATCTGTTCACAAGGTGGTCACGTTGTTCTTCAGTTATTTCATAATCAGAGACTCTGCTCTTAAATTGTGTGGCCAATTGTTTCGCTCCACCTTTTGCGGTTTCCTGAAAACCTTTCCTTCCTTCACTGAAGTCCTTTACATGTTCTCCAGTAACATTTGCGGCTTCTTTTGCAACAGGATAAGCACCCTCACGAGCTTGTTGAATAGTTTCTTGCTTTGCTTGTTGTAAAGATTTTTCTTCATTAGAACCAAATTTAGAAGTAGCATCTGTATTCGGATCTTTATCTGGAATGGTTCGCAAAAGAGCATCTTGAACGATAGAATGAAGATCATTTATTAATTTTCTGAATTCTGAACTTGATATGAGAAGTTGAGGAATTAACAAGGTTTTTTTGAAAGCATCTTGAAATATTGGTTGGGTGGATGAAGCTTCATTGGTAGCTTTATTCTTCAGATCATCAGGAACCGTTACAACAGATCCTAATTGATTTTAAAAAAAAAATTTTTTTTAATAATTCTTTTAAAGAACTAAGATCATAAGTAGTTTTAATTTCCGTAGACTTACCGGTAATATCTTTTGTGGCTTTACTACCATAGTAGATAGCATTCTGTAATTCATCACCTACATTCTTTTCTTCAAATATTTTTTTGGTGGTATCTAAAAGCCTTTCAAAATCAGCCATTACTTTTTTGCCTAAAGGAGACATATCTTGTGGAGCTTGAAGAGCATCGGATTTCTGAACTGTTTCAATAGCTCGCGTGATTTGATCAGTGGATGGAAGTTTTCCGTCTCTATTATATTAAATTGTCGAATGGCGCAGTAAAGTTATAAACATGCCGTAAAACTGTGTAAAAAAAAAAAATTCAAAGCAAAATATACTTGAGAGACTCGGTAAGTTGTCCTGCCATATTACGAGCATCGATTGCTTCATGTTCGAGCTCATCACGTTTAGGATCATCTTTTGGTGGAAGACCAGACATGGTTAATAAATATTTTTTGATTTATAAAAAAATTAAATTGGATTTTTCTGAAATATGAAATTGGATATTTGTTTTTTTTTTTTGATAGGAGAAAATTTATGTCTTTTATATAAAATAATCCAATTTGTTAGTTTGTTCATAATTACATCATAAAAAATGGCCGCGATCATAATAATATTGTTATACTTTTTCATATACTATTATTTTCTTCGAATTTTTCTTAATTATGATGTATGATGTTAATGACGTTATATTTTATGTAAAGGGCAAAGCGTAATAATTTGGTCATATTTAAGTCAGTTAAGTCAGTGGCGGGCCAAGCTTCACAAAACGCAGATCATTCTGACCATAATTAATTACAAGATTATTCACGTGATTTATCATTCTTTTACATAATCAAAAGAATTCAAAATTATGATATTACTTATAAAATTACATCATTAATACATATATAATACCGTTTAATTTACACAGAGAAAGAATTATTTAACGTTGGGCAATATGAACCCCTAAATTATTCATTATAATCTCTTTCGTGTGTGTGAACAGAGCCAAATTTAGTAAAAAAATGGGTTGTTAGATGTGGGAAAGTATAATAGGCTGAAATCATAAGCATAATAATAATAATAATAATATCAATAATTACAAAATAATTAAATTTTAATGACTAATAAATTACTGAGAATAAACCAAACGCGCTTGAGGTGTTTTGGAGTGACGTATTTTGACACATGGTATTTGAATTTAATGTTTAATATAACCATAAACATTAGTCAATCAGTTGCAAATCACACGCATATATGTAAGTTAGTTTTTATGCAGCTAATCAAAATATTTTTCTCCTCTCTTTCTTATTCCCATATAAAATTTTTTTTCTTTTCTTTCTTTTTAATAATAATAATGAACGTAAAACAAGAATCAAATTTCGAACCTAATAAAGATGATATCTATCATTTAACATCATATACATGGATAGTTAAAGATTTTCAAGATATCTATTGTCATATGGATAAGTCACAATTTATTTTAAGTGAAAGATTTTATTCACCATCAACTCCAATAATGAAAGAACATCAAGAAAAAAGAGATGATAATATTTGGAGATTTTTATTCGTTCCACATGGAAAGTCCGAAATTTCTAAAGAACATATATCACTTTACTTATTCCCTCTTAAAAATGAATATGAAGAACAAAATGGTATATGTTATCGACAAGCAATATATCAAATTGAAATGTTTGTACATAACGATAAACGTACTTCATTAATAGATCCCAAGGATAAAATATATAATCATATCGCAAAGTTAAATAATAAATATAATAGATGCGGAGAATATGATTATTGTGAACTCAAGAATATTTTTCCTAAAGATAACGATAAAACAGAAAAAACAGATTTAATTTTTAAAATTCAATTTTATTATGATAAAAATTATACGATAGATATATTTCCGTCTAATGATATAAAAGATAATTCAAAAGATTCATCTTTATCATTTGAAAATTATTTTAATGATGAAAATTTTAGTGACATTACATTCAAATTTAGTTGTGGGTCTGAAATCAAAGCAAGTCGACTTGTTCTTGCAATAAAATCATCATATTTCAAGGCCTTATTTAATGGAAATTGGAAAGAATCGAAATCTCCAATAATCACAATTAAAGATGTTAAATATGAATGTTTTAAAAGAATGATTAATTTTTTATATAGTGGAAAATTAGATAGTAACTTATCTTTTGAAGAATTAAAAGATTTGTTTATTGAATCTGATATTAGAGATATTATGGAATTAAAAAAGGCGGTTTCTACGAGAATTGTTAAGCATGTTAATGAAAATTATTGGGATGAAATATTATTAATGGGTTGGCAAATGAAAAATATGGAAATGAAACAAGCCGGATTGAAATATTTTAGTGAACATTGGATGGAGATAAAAAATTCAGAAAAAATGAATAATATCATTGTAAATTCAAACTTTGATTGGTTGGAAGAACTGTATAAGGCAAAGCTATTTGGCGTGGGCAAATAATACTTTGAACAATTACGGGCGTGTACTATTTTTTTTTTTAAAAAAAAAATAAATTCCATTTCAGGAGTGAATTATGTAAATTTGACAATATTTCCTCTGGATCATTGCATTTTGAACGATACCCTTATAATCCTGGCCGGGCGCGTTAATATATTCTACTAGTAAATCTAATTCAAATAACTATTTACTAATAGAAAGATTTTCTCCCTAAAAAGAATCTAGCCTTGCAATATTCATTTAACGCATTTAGAGAATATGAGAGTCAAAATTAAAATATGAATTTCAAATATTAGAAATATAAAATTTGTATACCCATGAGATTAAATATATTCTGCATAATTAAACTAGCCATAATAGTAATATGTGGATCGAAAGTTAAATTAAATTTTATATAAATTTGGATAAAACTCCAATATGACGGATGATACCCTTTGACAATTTTAATAAAAATTTAAAATATAATAATATAATTTTATTTATTATAATTTAAAACAAAAAAACAATAATAGTAAAATCTAAATTTTTTTTCTAATTACAAAAATTAAATATCTTTTCTTTTTTCAAATACTATACCCACATCACTAGAAAATCTATAAGGGCCCTTAATTTGAGGTATAGCTATTTCATCATTAACAGTTTTAATGTTGTAATTTAATAATAAATAATGTAAAGCAGTTTTAATTTCGCTAGTTGCAAAATAACGTCCGGGACATGCATGTTTACCAAAACTAAAGGCCAGAAAATTTTTTTCAACGCGAGGTGCAGGTGCTCCTACATGACGTAAAAAGTTGAATTCATTTGGATTTTCACCTTGAGATTCTTCTTCACGATGAACTTCTTGTAATCGAGTGGTAACGTGTCGACCTAAAAAAAAATAGATTAAAAGAATTAAATTTTGTTTTAATAAAATAATTTATTAGAAAAAATAATGTTTATATTTTTACCTTTTGGAACTTGATGGCCACTTGAGAAAGTGTAAGGGTTGAGTGCTTTATGTTCAAAAAAAACTATACTTGTGGTCATCCTTAAAGTTTCCTTAAAGAAACTATCCAATTTAACCAACGAATCTATTTGTTCTGAAGTATAATAAGGTCCAGATTTGTTTTCAAGTAATCGTTCTTGTTCTTCTAATAATTCCTTTTGAATTTCTGGATGATTTGCATATTCTAAAGAAAAGAGAAATATTTCAGAATTTACATTTCCATACACTTACATACTTTAACAAAAAATACTTACTATGTGTAGCATTAGTGAGAAAAGTTGAAGTTGTATGTGTAGCAGCAAATATAGCGGTAATAACATAATCAGTTATTATATCAATATCAGCTTTGTAATCATCTTCTATGACCAATTCAATTAATTTTTGTAATATATCAACTGGAGGAACATAAGATTCTCCATCTCTTTTCATGTCATTTAGTCTTTTTTCAAGCACTGGTGTAAGCTTTCGCTTAATCACTTCTCTATGCACTTTAAATGGATTAGTGAAAAGTTTAAACAATAATCTAAAATAAAAAAAAAAATCAGTCCGTAAAAAAAAGTTTATTTTATTACACCATAACACATATATTTAGATACTTACATCATAAATTTTTGGTGTAGCAATGGATAAATAAAATCCAGGAAAGGTGGAATTGATAAAAATGGAATAAAATCACTTGAAGCGTAAGCGACCGTATTAACTAATTCTTTATCTTCAGAGAGTTCTTCTCCAAGCAAAGATGCAGCGATCGGTCTTGCGATTATTAATTGGAAAGTTTTCAAAGGTGGTTGTAAAACAGTTCCATCACCAATTTGTTCTTTAATAGCCTTCGTGAGCGTTCTCTGAACTCTTTCAGTATATGATGGTAATTGTTGTGATAAATAAGTAAATATTATTCTAGGTAAAGGTGCAAAATATTTATCCGCGCGATCCATAAATGCTTCCAGAGGAAATTTTTCTTTGAATGCGATGTCAAAATTGAAATCTTTATCACTCTTAAAGACTTCGGGTGAAAGTCTACTACCAACAAATGTTTCAATTTTACCAAATATATATAATGAAAATGTTTCTCCATATTCTTCAGCACACTTGGCAAGAAATTTCTCTGTATTTCTATAAAAATCAAATGTATGTCCAATTATTGGTAATTTATAAGGTACAAGAGGTGGTTCATTTAATTTTAGTTCTTGATTTCGTCGCAGTAATTTTGATGCGATGAAAAAAATTATTCCAAGTGAAATGAATTGAATTATTAAATTCATTTTTATAATATATCCAAAAAAAAAAGAATAAATAAATAAATAATCAAATAAAAGAAATTATTATTATATTATTTTTTTTTTTTTTTAAAAAAAAAAAAAGAGCATACACATTTATATAGATACGGGAATTCGGGGATATTACCCTATAAAGATTTAACAATTTTGTTGATCATTCCTAGAATAATAATTCAAAATATTTTAATATGACGATTTATAAAAAAGGTTTCAAAAAAACCATGTTTGACATTTATCTCTAGATTGATGAATAATTAATTTATCAATGGACACTCTTAAACTTTAATGAATATTACAATTTAATAATATTCATAATAATGTGTATTACATGTGAATGAACTAATTATTATTGTTAAAAAAAGCTTTATTCTTTTTTGGAGAAAGGTTCATCCAATAATTCTATAATGGAGTCTAATTAATAGACGATCGGGAACTCCGATGCTCTAAATTGGTAAAATTTTTTGTGCATCACCTTAATCCAAACTTAAAAATTTTTTTAATATTGTTTCACTCTCCCAAACTTTAAACTTTCGGCTAAAAGGCAGACCGTAATATGAAATATCGGAATTTTTGCGTGTAATGTATAAACAATGGACATGTTAACCCTATTTTCTACATTACAAAGATAAAAGATGAATGTGTGTTATTGGTAATATATTCCTGATAAAGCAGTTAGTTTGGGAATATACGGGATACACTATTAATGCACAAATATGCGGAAAAAACAAGGTTATAATTCATTTTAGTAAAGCTCCAAAATTGATAATTAGTAATTTAATATTCATTGATATCTTTTCTTTATTGTGAAAAAGCCTTCTAAAATATAGATACATGTTCTTTTTATTCTGATTCCGTTGAATAAAAAAGGCGTAACTGTTTTCTGGATTTAGTGTATCAATCATAAAAGGATGATATTTCCGTTTTTATCAATAGTTTTTTTGTCCATTTTTCAAATTCATTTATTTGTAATTTTATTTCACTGTCTTTATTGCTTTTTCATTGTTTTGACATCTTAATATCCGAATTCTGAATTAATAGAAATAAGGTATAATAAATAAAATAAGTGAGTCGATTACCTCTTTTTCTTTTAAAAAAAGGAGGCGAAAAGAACGTGGATAAAGTTTCATCTGTTTTAACGTTTTGGTGATACAAAGAAATTATCTGCATGCAATAAATATTTCACAAAATGTCACTACGCCACTGTGGTCATAATTACCGCTGAATCGGGATTAATCTAAGTATGCGCTATCCATTCTTTTAACGAATTTTAATAAAACGGTTCGCACTCGCTCATTGAGACTTAAAAACTAGAGACTTGTACACAACTAATCCAAAGCAATTATTTACAAATATAATCGCGCTTATGATATGTGAACGTTATTATCAAAAAGACCAAAGACTCAAAGTGGCTTTAATTTTGATGAACTTATTAACTACTTAGAAGTGTAATATTTCCTGATTTTTATTACAATACAGGTCAGTTTGATTATTAAACTGCGAGATTCTAATTATAATATCTGACATTACTGAAAATATTTCTAATTCTTTAGCTTATTCTTGATGATTCATTGCGATTATTAATCAATTATCATGTAATTCTGAGACTGAGACTTCTCAGTCAAGTTTACCTTTTCACGATGAGTTGATATTAAATATTGGTTATTTGCAAAAAAAAAAAAATGGAAATATATAACTTACACAGAAATTTAAAATATTGTGGAAATCTGAATTTCCAAATACCCTGACAAAAACACATGGATTTTCGGCGTAGATCCGAAGATTAATTAATATATGTGGATCCATGTAGGATATATATATATATGGAAATGAATGAAATTCCACAAATATTAAAAAAAAAAAATTATTTTTATACGAAAGACATATTAAAATATGGTTATTTATTTTTTTTTTTCAAAAAAATTTATATTTAATTTTATTATAATATTTAAAAATTACCATATATGTCTCCCGTCGGTGAAATCGATCCTGTCGGCGAAACGTTTGTTGGTCGGGGAAGTGTAATCGTCGGAGAGTTGAATCACTTGAATGCATCCCGTCCCGAGGATCGTGTTTCTGAGTATATGTCGGCTCCATTCGTATTCGTAATCAATTGCTATTGAAGAAGGTGATTTATAGCAACCATTCTTCCAAATCACTCTTAGCCAACCGATTCAATTCATCTTTTGTTTCTTCTAATTAAACATTTTTACTTCAAAAAAAAAAAACACAGATATTGGCCAAAACCACATTAAGTTACCACGTTTAGTAATTCGAGAAGGAATTAAGAAAACCTTTAAAGGATAGAAAGGTTGTAAAAGAAAAAATCTTCTTTAGAAGAGAAAAAGATAAGAAATGTAAGAAATGAATATTTTATTTAAGAGACATCAAATGAGTTTGGGAACAGCATATGGAAATTTTATAAATTTTAATCGTGAAAATTAACTTTTTTTTCCGATAATTTTTTAAATTTTTTAATGTATTTAAACATATTATTACAAATAGTAAATAATGAGTATCTATATTTTTATTCAAAATATATATTATATATTTATTTTAGATTTTTTATGATAAATCATTATACATGCATTCATAGGTATTTTATTTTTGAAAAAAAAAAAAAATGCATTTTTTGAATATTTCACAATTTGCTCCCAATGCGCTAAAAAATGAAACCCCTATTTTCAAATGATCCCTCTGGATGACCTTTGAATAACATCTCACCAAACTTTAAATTTTGATGATTGGCTCGCGTTTAACTCACCGACAATTACTTCACCGACAATCATTTCACCGACATATATAAAATTAAAGAATTTTTCTAACTATCACCGGGGGTGATGATCACCGATGACTGAAATTATGACGATCAACCAGCATTAAAAAAATAGAGTGCCGGTAAAATTTGATAATTCTGGCCAACGGTGATGATCACCCCCGGTGATTTGAAGTAAAAAACAAAATTAAATATAAAAATTTTATAAATACATATATCTTTATATGAAATAGGGATTTTTTTTGTTAGTAACACGTATTTCTTTGTTAGATTTAATAAAATACAAAAAACTACTCTATAGATGTCCTTAGCTGTTTATAGGGGAATATAGCACATACTTTTCACAATAGTTTAATAAATGTATTAATGTTTTGTTGTGATGATCAAAACTAAAAAGTTTATATCTATATATTTGTTAGTAACGCGCATTTCTTTTATAATTTATAATAACATATCAGATATATAAAAAAATACAATATATATATATAACTATATATTATTCTATCTACTTAACCGTCTAAGATGGAAGTAAGTATCAATACTTATTAGATCTAAACTAAAAATCCAAAAAAGTTTTTATAAAATGATTGTCGGTGAAACGTTTGGTGACAGACCCCTTTTATTTCCCGCGTATTTTGTTGAAAATATTAGACGGCATTTTTCTTAATAGTGCCTATCATTATTTTAATCTATGATAATATGAATTTTATTAATGATAATGTAAATTTTTCGGGTTTAATATAATTTCACAAATACTTATTGCGTATGCAATTTGGATATTAGATAATTGATTTTTTCCTTTAAGGATTTGTAAAATTCTAGACATATGTGTTTCCGGATCCGGATTATTAATTTTTTTGAATAAATTTTCGTAGCAAATTTTTACGGCCGCGCTCCCCTTCCATTTTGCGCTTTGCGCATATAAGAATTTTTTTGAATTTATAACACTGCTTCCCGTACTTTTAATTCCAGTAGAAAGCTTTCTAATTCTAGTGGAAAGTTTTCCCTATAAAAAATTTTTCAGAAAAATGATCACGTGTCTGAGTTTCTTATCATTTATTGCAGAATTTGCAGAATTTTTTTTATAAAATAACTAAATTTTAAGTCCTTCGTTCCTTCAATTTCGAAACTGCCTTTTGATATAATTCAAATTTTTTGTTGTTCACATCTAATAAAAGATATTGATCCGCTGTTCACATCCAATAAAAGACATTGATATGTTTGTTCACATCTAATAAAAAATATTGATCCGCTAAACGAAATAAAAACTTTCGCCATGCTGATCCATTTATCAGAGCTTATAAATTATAATTTTAATATAAGGAATAAATTGTTGTAAAATATTCCTATGCATCAGCTGTTCTCACATTGTTATTAATCAATCTTAAATAATAATCTTTTTATCAAAAATAATAATAATGTCCAAATTAATCTTTGACCTTCTATATCCCATCTTTAACGAGTTGCATAATACTTCGTTAATAAAATGTTACCCTATAAAAAATTTTTCAGAAAAATGATCACGTGTCTGAGTTGGTTAAAGGTATGTCGATAAGTCACGTGAAACTGCATAACGGCCTCATCTGTGATAACGAGTCTTCAAATATATTACGCAGTAAGGTTGGTTGCCGTAAGTAACGATTATTATATATCGAATTACAACATTTAACGGTTGTAATATTATAAACGTAAGCTGTAAATTGGCTGTAAATACTACACCATTGTGGTTAGCTAATAGATGGTAATTCTGCAATATTACGCTGTATGTTTGATGTCATAAATATTTTTATAAAATATCATTAAATGATAATTATAATATTAAAATATTTCCCAAGAAATTCCGGAGCTTTGGCATGTCGGAGATTTTTATTCAAATAAAAACTATCATTTTATTAAAAAATTTTTTTTTTTTAGATTATAGATACATAGTTGTGAAAATTGTGGGAATTTTGTGGGAATTGTAAGAGCTTATGAGATTTAGAAGTTTGTGAGAGGTTTTGATGAAATAATTGAAATTTAAAGGGGAAAATATTATATATTTTATTTTTTAAATAATTTTGGAGCATAGATTCTGGTGCCTTTAAATACATAATTAGATTTAAGATTGATAATATCAACCGTAAAAAATGTCATCTGGCTGAGCAGCGGAAGTTAAATGCTTTAACCGCTAAGCCGCATAAGGCTTTTGCTTTTAGAATTTGAATTTTATTTACTGATTTTTTTTTAACTACCTGTTTCTTGTAACTTGAAATATCGAGTTTCTATTGAAGAAATTTTATCATTTCTATATCTATAACATTGTTTTAAAAAAATAAATTTTTAACAGTAATTTTCACCGTTGATCATAATAGGTTAAAGATGTGCGTAATTTATCAAGACAAAATAACCAGACAATCCTAATTCTGGCCAAATTTGTAATTCCAGCATCCGTTTGTCAGGCAAAATCTCAGCCACTGAGATGGTTAATTACCGAAAAGGAGAAATCAAATTTCGTTTCTTAAAACAGAAAAATGGCCAGGAAATGTTCCGACTTCGCTAAGCCATTTCCGTACCGCCTATAGCAGCAAATAATCCAGGTGCTGTTTAAAAGAAATAAAATTATTAATACAAAGGATCCTCAAATATTCGAGTCGATAAGAGGTGTTAAAAAATAAGCCTCCATCGGTCCGTCCATAGTTACAATTCAACACTGCCTCATTACATGCGGATTTCATATGATTCGATTTCATAATTAGACGAATAACGCAAACCGTGAAAAAATTGGATTAATATATAAAAGTTATGCTCATTTTATTTTAGTAAAAAATTATGTGTAACATATAAAAAAATGTTCTCAATTTGGCCACCACATTTCTGGTTAAAAATTTAATTTTTATGCTTTTCAACATCAAACCTTTCATTGAAAAATAAGACAAGATTATCAATGATTATCATAATTATAAATTAAATGACACTATACAATTTTTCTTGAAAAAAGTAATAAATATATCTAAGTATCTGAAACAAATATTAATGTGAAAATAATGAGGAAAGTTTGTGTGGAAAAATGATGATGAAATTATACGGGAGTTCAAGTAGTGGTGTATTTTCTTTTTTAGAAACTAACATTGATAAAAATAAAAATACATTGACCCCTTTTTGTTTTAAAAAAAACGAATTTTTTAAAAAGGCTTTTTTTTTTAAACGAAAATACAAATTTTTTAATAACAAAAAATGCCCGTTCAAATTTCAACTATTTTGTTTATATCCGAATACAGGGAGAAAACATAAAGTGGATATTTGGTTATACTAGACTCGAGGAAGATGGTGAATTTTAATGAAATATTAGCAAATGTATCGTTCTTATACGATCAGGTGCTATGTTCTTATACGACGTATATGTCACATAATATAGGTCGTATAAGATAGTATGTCGTACACGTATAAGAACGATACATTTGCGAAATATTACATCCCACCAACCCGCAAATCAACTTAAATAGGAAATTTGTTAATGCTAATTTATAATTCGGGCCAAATATCACGTAATTTTCACGTGACAATCGCTTAAGTGCTCGAGCTGTAGAATGTAAATATATTAAATATCAATATTAAACCATAATGCTTTGAATATTTATTAAGTATGAAAATTATGTTTAACGGATAAGTATAGGTTGACGGTCAGACATTACCATTACGTATAACTAGTGATGGATTTTTGAACTAATTAATTGGATTAAACTTTTGTTCAATCTAAATTATCCAAATTCAAATTTCATTGAACATCAGAATTTCCAATTGTTACTTTTATATTTTAGTTAATTATATATAAACACTTTATAATATAAATAATAAAAAAAGCTTTAACTGATAAAAGTATACAAAAATGTTGGATGAAAACGATATTAATTAGAATAATAATATTTTTTAAAAAAAGAATAATATAACTATTAAGAATTTGGGAGCAGACATTGTGTATGACGTTAAATGACATCAAATAACATCAAATTCATCAAATGACATCATCAAATGATATTGAATAGTTTTTTATTATGAAAAAAGTATAAAAATGGTAAATATAATTTAATAATATTGCAACTGACTACTTGAAATGGACTATCTCCAATTAATCCAAGACTCCAAGTCCAAATAATCTAAAAGGTTTTTAATTCAATTTCATCACTATGTATAATTACTTTTAGTTTACTAGTATAATTTCAGTTATATACTTAGCAGCCATTCATTGTATTTCATTTTAATAAATTTTTTAATGTTCATATATGTAAAATCTAGTCCTGAAATGTTCATTCTCCTCCCAAAAAAAAAACCAATAACAATTACTTTATTTTTAAAAACATAACATTTCATGTACTCTATGATTCAGTATTTCATTTAGATATAAATTGTGGATAATTATTCGCGAAATATATTAAATGAATTTAAAATTTACGATCAGTTATATCTATATTTTTCAAATTTTACTATATTTATTAAAAATTGTTAGTACGTACATACAATACTTTAATAAATGCGCATCAAAGGAAATATGAGAGTGCATAAATTCTTCACCAATTAAAAGTTCAATCGTAGATATAAGTTCGCACATGAAATGCTAAATCATCATCAAATTTTGCCTAGAATGGCCGGAATTGCCTTTTTTAGTACCAGCAAAATTTGCAACCACTGAAATCTACGCATATATGGCATACAATATATGAGAGATTAAAAATCCATAAAGTAAAAAATTGTCTCGTTGCTCTTTTATGTTTCACCTTAAAAAGAGGTTTAAATTCTTTTAAAGGCATGTATGTCCGAGAATAAAGGCTATGAGGAGTAATTTTGTTCACAACAGTAGGATGCAATTCTGGATTTTAATAATTCATACCGAATACCGAATCGCTCGAAAAAAACATTATGATGTATGATGCTTTCTTTATTATATAACAAAAGAAAGGTCAATTATTGCTCTAATTGAATCTCCAAATATACAAATTGCTTTAAATCCAAAAAAAAGTCATGAACAAAAGATTTTATAATACTTATCCTAAAAAAAAAAGTATAACAAAATCAGCTTGAAAAAAGCTACATAATAAAAGAATATCAATATTGATACAAAAAGAAAACACAAAAAGATTCAAAAGATAATATCCGTTATTAATCTTATAAATTACGCACATCGCATTTTGACATGAGATCATAATTATGCAAGCTAAATAAATTTTAACTGGCAAAACATTAAATATAATTATTATAAAACATTAAATATAATTATTATAAAAACATTTTAAAAATATAAAATTATAAAACATTAAATATAATTAAATGAATTGTAAAGTCCCAGACCTTTTAATCTAATTTTTTATAAAAAAAAAAAAAAAATTTTTTTTTTTTATATTCATAATTCATAATTATTATAAAATCAATTAATTGTCTGTAAAAATATCATGAAATAATTACGATTTATTTTTTTAATATATACAAATAAATAAAAAAAAAAAAAAATTACACAAAAAAAAATATCAAGTATAAAAAAATTTTTAATTTATAACATTTATGGTAACATTTTCAAATAATAATTGTAATAATAACAAATAAACATTACGCAATTTTAAAATAAAAAAAATAGTTTTTTTTTATTTAAAAAGTAACACCAAAAAAAATAAAAAAAAAAAGAGTTCTCATTTATAAACAATGATATTTTTTTGTCGTTTTTTTTTTTTATTTTAAAATCAAATTTTTTTTCGATTCAAAATTTACTTATTAGGAAATGTTGATAAAAATGTGATATCAACGTGGTGTAATAATAATGCATCGTTATGTAAAGTCAATCATCCTTTTTGTATATCTTTTTTTAAATGAATATTTTAGCTTTGTATTCTTATATTAACCTTTTCAAGGAAAAATACTTTTTTGATGATAATCGTTTCGTATTACGTTAGTATAATCTTTTCTTTCACGGAAGAATTATGTAACGAAAAATTCGTGAAAGGTGTTACTACAATGACTTTTTTTGAAATCCTTCCTAAAAATTGAATAAAATCCTTATTGTTGAAAATAATAATGATTCTTAATTTGAATAAATTTAAACGCGTTTCAATATGACGTATATATTGTACATATCTGACATTATCAAGAATTTCTGGAAAATCCGAAAATCGCGTAAAAAAAAAACTTTACATACTTTAACATCTTTAACATTCAACGTTTTTGACGTTATCCGCAAATTTATAAATAAATCGTTGATTATGATTTAATTACGTCAAAATGATTCAGTAATTTTCAGGGGAGATAAAAAATTTTTTTTTTACGCCCACATAATTTAAAAAAGTTTAAATTTTTTTTTTTTTTGCGTTTATTTTAAAATAGCAAAATGTATATATATATATATATTATATATTATTTTTTTTAATTTAAATCATATGTTATAAAAAAAAAAATGTAAATAAAAATAAATATTTGTATGTTATAAATACAGTACATTAATACCTGTCTCTTATACACATCTAGATGTGTATAAGAGACAGTTATCTACTCGATTAAGAAAAAAATAATTGTATATTTTTTTTTAAATAAAAGTACAAATTTTTACATTTGTACACACAAAAAATAAATAATAATACAAAAAGAGAAAATTATATACAAAATCAGTATCACTCAGGTGGAAATTTTTATACAAAAGAAAATTATTATAATCCAAAAAAATAAAAATGAAATCTATAAATAAAAAATAATTAATATATAATATTTAACAAGTCTAGTCATCAAAATTATAAGTATATGCTTCAAATTGAGAATGACCACGTCCACGATATGGTGGAGGAGAAGCAGGAGATCGTACAGGTACTTTCTCATTATTATGGTGGTTATTAGGAGGAGATCGTCCATCAGCATAAGGCGGTAATTTTGATGAATTAGGAGAAGGATTGGGCGAAGGCATACCATCGTAAAGATTAGGTGTGGAGATCGGTGGTATAGGAGTAGGTGGTGGTCTAGGTGGTGATTTTGGTGCTACGGTCGGACTAAGATTTGAGTGAAGGGAATTGGAAGAAGACGTAGATGGTGTTGAAGCACGTGAATAATTGTATTGAATATTATCATAAACGTTTTTTTGTTGTAAAAGATGTTGTTGTTGATGTAATAAAGCTAATTCAATCTTTTTTTTGTACAACAATAAATCATAATATTCTTCTTCAATATTATTACTAACTATAGAATCAGTGTAAGAATCACGTTTGTTTCTATTATTTAATGGAAACTTTTTTGCATACCCTTCAGGATGATAATGAAATGGAGGTGGTAATTCGCTCGATAGTGATGGTCTCCTAGTACGTTGTTGTGGTATCATTTGTTGTGGTATCATTTCATAATGACTTTTTTCAGAATATAAATATCGATCATTATTATTATTAATATTACTTTTATTAATATTAGTACTATTATTATTACTATTATTAATAATATTATTAATACTAATAATATCCTTATCCCTTATATCAATACTAATTTCATCAGGATCATAAACTGATTGATTTGGAGAATAATGACTATTATTACTATTATTAGAAGAATCATAAGGTGAAGGTGAAAGTAAATTTCTATTAATTTGAGGTGGTGAAGAAGAAAGTTGTTCATTAGGAAATTTTTCATATATATTAGCTACTCTAACACTTTCTTCAATTTGAAAGTCCATATCAGCACCCCATAAACAAAATTTAAGACATAATTGATGAGTGATACTTATAAATCTACCAGAATAAGTTGGTTGTACACTACGAGGTAAAAATAAGTTTATAGTATGAACACATTCTCCTTCATAATGATGAGAAAGAGGTTGTAAATATCTAATCTCTTGTCTTGGAATCACGAGAAAAGCTGATTGTTCCTTAACATGACGAGTTTCATTTGGATTATTACATCTAAAATCCATACAAGTTTTTAAAGCAATTTCAACCCTTTCAACACTTATACCAGGTCTTAAGAAACGAATTCTCATTGGTATAGAAACATAAGTTCCTAAATTAAAATTTTTATTTGGAGGTAAAACAAAAGTATAATCTAAACCACTTCTAGATTCTCCTCTTAATTTATAAGGAGTAGAATTTGCATTATCTAAAGATATGGTTCTTTTAAGAGGACATTGAATTTCAACAGATTGAGTTGTAGAAGAGACCAAACTTCCTTTCCTATTTACAATAGCACGTAAAGTATAATTTACCGTACCAATTTCTGATACGATCGTTTCAGGAAGATTATAAGGTAATTTCACCTTAAAAGGAATATCAAGGTGAAGAATTTGAACCTCTTCTTCGGATTCCCAAATCTTGTAAGGCTGATCAACAAGAATTTGTTCACCAGTGTATAAAGCCTTTGATCTCGCTTGAGCTTTATGCCATGATGTCCTTTCGGCACCTTTTAAGTGTAAACTTACACTTTTGATTTGATGTTGTTTTTGATAACTGAGATGTAAAACACCAGTCAAGAAACTATCCGTATCACCGAGAGTTCCTTGTTGAAAAGAAACCGAATCAGATTCATAAGAAAATGTAATATTTTTATGAGGTTTTATATATGAACTTAAAGGAGGACGATTTGTTTTTGTTGGACTTGTTGATGATGGTGAAGTCATTTTATTATTAAGGTAGTTACGTTAGGTATTTAATATAATATTCGTAATATCTTGATAGATAAAAGGATGGTTAAAATTTATTCATTAAATTATTATAAAGGATTTCTTTTTTTTTGAAAAAATAGAATTTATTTTCAGATAAGAAATGGTTCGAAAAGAGTTTTTATAAAAAAAAAAAGTATAGATAAAAAAAAAAATTATTTTTTTTTTATTCACTAGAAAAAAAAATTTTTTTACAAATATTTTGGTCAGCGTAAATGGATCACAAATTATAAATATTTTTTTTTTATATATGCACAAAGCAAAAAAAGATAAAAANGTGTATAAGTAAGGTAAATAGTAATTTATTTTTTTTATTTTCTATTTCAACAATAGAATTTATTTTCAGATAAGAAATGGTTCGAAAAGAGTTTTTATAAAAAAAAAAAGTATAGATAAAAAAAAAAATTATTTTTTTTTTATTCACTAGAAAAAAAAATTTTTTTACAAATATTTTGGTCAGCGTAAATGGATCACAAATTATAAATATTTTTTTTTTATATATGCACAAAGCAAAAAAAGATAAAAATTTAATATAAAACTATCTAAAATTAAAAAAGATTAGGCTTCATGCAATTACATACATTGATACAATTGATATATGGGTTTTACGAGATTCCTGATAAAAAATGGGATTGAGCCACGTGCTGATGCAAGGGTCAGAATAGTGTAACTTATGGAATAATTCTTTTTGTTTATTTATTTTATTTAATAAATTTATATTACTGATAAGAAAAATATGCATGATTAGGAATTGTAACAAATCACACATTTATTATATGTTACGAAACATTTCTATTTATTTGTATTGTACAACAAATTCAATTTCTAAATATTTTAAAATATATATTTTAATTATATTAATATTAATAAATATATTAAATATTTTAATATTTTTCATATTTTTCGCCGAATTTTCGATCAACTGTAAATATTTTATTACACGCGAAAAAACAATAATATAAAAGATTTTAATGGTTATTTTTACTGATAATAATTCTAATATTTTCACGTCTCTTTTTTTTAAAAAAAAAAATTAAAAGAAAATTTTTTTTTTTCTTTATATTTTTTAAAACCACATGATATACTTTTAAAGCTTTCAATTATACTTAAAAGAGTAGTTTAAAAAGGGGGTAAAAATTTTAAAAAAAAACTTGTTTGAAAAAAAAAACACGTAAAATACTAAAACTATGAAAACTATGAAAACTAATAAAACATATTCAATTTATATAATATTAATAACGTATTACGTAAACTATATAAACTTTAAAAAAAAAAAATTTTTTTAAGCTTTTTTTAAACTTTCATTTAAGCTTTTTTTAAACTTTTTTTTTCCTTTTTTCTTACCTTTTTTTTTTTAAAACAAGATGCTTAGATTTGTAAAAAACCGTTTTTAATAAAAGATATAAAAGATATAAAAGATATAAAAGATATGATAGTAAAGATAGTATTACGTTACATTCTTTTTTACATTTTTTTATGATATCTGGTATCCCTTCATTTTCCCCCTGTGAGAAAATACAGTAGAAAAAATAGAAAAAATGAACTTCTAAATCATGACATATTTAATGATCAGGGAACGTGATAACCAAAATATTTTGTCGATTCCTTAGACGTTGTTAAATGCTGTATGAGTTTAGTATATACATTTAAACAATTATTAATGAATACTTATTTGGTTTGTCTGTAATCTATAATCCTATAGTTTATGATAAAAAAAAGAAAAGAAAAAGGAAAAAAAAATAATAAAAAAAAAATAATAATTTAAAATAAAAAGTAACAATAAGAATTCTTTTTAGGAAAAGTCCGACTTTTGTTTTCCAGAGATTGGGGGAAAAAGAGGAATAAGTTTAAACTTTAAAGAATGATTATTACCAGGCGCCAAGCGATAAGAAGAAATTCTTGGCAAAATGATGTTAAACAAGGGTTTAATGATGTTTGTCGTATTTCATATGAATGACATATTTTAAACTTTTTTTTTTCTCCCTTATTTTTACGGATAATTTTATTAGTTTAAGATTATAATAATAATGACATTCATAGAATCCATCTTCGTTTCGGAATTATAGAAAGTTAAATAAAGTAGAATATTATTAAATTGAATTTGTAATTTTAGAATTATTATTTTTATTTATTATAGTAATTATTATTAATTTATATATATATATATATTGATCGATTGTCAAAGGAAATAAAAGGAAAATGGCCGATCAATTTTCAATCAATCAAAATCACATGATATTTACCTTTGTTACCTTTGTTACCTTGGATGCTTTGTACCTAATGTACTTCATTATTAAATTTACTAAATTTACTATAGTAAATTTTTTACATTGAATGAATGAAATATTCATTCCACATTTCGAATAACAATAAAAGAATGAATGTATAATATACGTACATGATATTGATATTGATATCGATATTATGTCTGTAACGTTATTTTTTAATATATATAATATATATTATTATTACCTTCCTTTATATGAACTTTAAATTTAAAGGATATGTAATACAATATAATTAATATATCCAAAACGAGCTTATCTATAAAAAAAAATAAACAATCATGTGGTGGAACGATAGACATCCCAAAAGATGATTTTTTTTATGGTTCGACTGGTTCGTTCTAAATGAGATGAATAATGAAGTTGATATTTGTACAATAATATCCGGGCGTACATAAATAATAAAGTTTAAATAAAAAAGAAATTTTATATCATTTTGTAAATTATTAGTTTTGCAAATATTTATCTAGCTGTCATTTTTTTTTTTAAAAGATGTTCATGATATCCGTTTTCTTTTGCCACGTTATTTTTTTACGAAAATAAAAATCTAAGAGATTTTGATATTTATGTAATCTGATTTTTATCGTTATGTTCACCTATGACAAGTGAACTTTTTGAAAATGTCTAATCAAATCTATATCTACATATTGATTAGATCATTGTTTATTGTTACTCAAAATGGCGGTTACAGATAATTAGATAATTCCGATCAATAATTTATTTTTAATAGGATTGGTATTAATTATTCCGATTGCATTAATAATGATAGGTAATTAATAGGTAACACTTTCCAGCTTGTTTCCTTAAGAAATTTTTTGATTCGCTAGAGATATGTCAACTAATTGCTACAAGGTATGATATTACATGGGTTATTTATCATTATTTATCATAAAAAAACAAATATTAAATTTCCTATTGGTACTCTACTTTATAATATTTTTAAAAACAAATTAATTAAAATTTCCATAAAATTTTTACATTATTAAATGCTGGAAATAATATTTATAGAAAGTGAAGTTACAATAGTTATGAAAATAAATGTACGGAAATTTATTACGTTTCAAATGTGTATGGTGCAGAAAAAAATTACCGTAATTTAAACATAAACTTTATAAGGAAAATAATTATGTACAGGTTTCGGGAGAGGGAATGTTAATGTGTGCAACAAATAGAAATTTTACGTCACGTACTGCGTAACAAATTGTCAAATGGTAATTTCTGTTAATAAACAAATAGTTGATGTTATTAATTCGTAATTCAACAAACCTATTATTGAAAGTTTGGTCCCGTCCGTTCAAAACGTTCTTGTATCAATGGTATCAATAAAGGTCCAATCAAATTTATTCAGCTAAAATTTTGATCTGCGTAAAGTTACGCAGATCATTATTTTTTTTCAAAATATTTTTTATTATTTTATTTTATTTTATTTTTTTTTTTTTTTTTTTTTTTTTTTTTTTTTTTTTTTTTTTTTTTATTTTTTTTTTTTTTTTTTTTTTTTTTTTTTTTTTTTACGCGGGAAGTAGAAAAAGTTTAAATCCCTGCATTTCTTATTTTTTGTTTTTGGTAAAAATGAAAAAAAAAATTTTCTTACTTTTTATTCAACCCTACGTTATACAGCGCATTACATAATGGCAGATCCCAGACGATTTGATTTTTCCCCTGCTTTCTTATTTACTTATGTGAATAAATTACTTTATAATGCTTGGTTCTTTAGTTCTTTCATTATTCTAGTGGTAGTTCTTGATTATTTGTTTTTTCCTCATTTTTTTATTGTTTGTTTAATTTTGTATAAATTATTTTTGTTAAAAATTGAATCCCTTTTTTTTTTCTCCTTTTAGTCTAGTTTAGTCTAGTTTTTTTTGATTATTTAAACAAAATATCAAAATATTTATTTGGTAAGTTAATTTTTCATCCTATTGTATTTCAATTAACTATTGTTTTGTTAAAAACAAGTTATGCAGCTTACATGAAAATTTTTTTTGATAGGAAAATAGTTCGGGTAAAATTTTATTTATCTAAAAAATAAAATTAATTTAGAAATTCTTTCGGCCTTCTAAAAGAAAAAAAAAAAAAATCAAACGATTAATAATAAATGCATCAAATATTATTTATTACTTCGTTCTAATCTTTTTTTTTTTTTTAACCTACAAAAAGGTATCAAAGGATTTTTCTGAAACGAATATCCTGATTATCTAAACAGCTTTGATGTTCATTTGGGAATTTTTAATTTTTAATTTTTAATTATTCTAATTCTAGATTTTTCCATAATTAGAATGATTGCTCGATTTTTACTCGATTAAGTATTAACCAAAAAAATAAATTTCATATGAGGGGAAATAATTTTAACTATATATATATATATTTAATATACTCGTGGTTAATTAGATTTCGAACATAAGATCTGGCCATCCAAGTGAAGTGATCCAACCCATCATGTGTATATTAAACTTTAAAGATTAGAGTTTAGCCAAAAATTATAGTTAATTTTGACCGGAATTAACCCATAATTTAACCACTTTTTAAAATTATACTTTATATATATATCGGTAACAAGGTCAAAATAAATACAGTAAAATCTAATCTTGAATTTGTATTTAACTGTTAATAGATACTGTGACTTTTTTTAATCTACATATATATAGACTAGAACGAATCGTACAGAATTTTGTGATTATCTCATTTATTCTATTTATTCCGTAAAAAAAAATGAACGCTTTTTTTCTCAGAAGGATTGTATCAGAATTTAATAATTATAAATAAAAGTACCATTATTCAGAGATCATTATTAATTAACAAGGTACTGTATTCAATGCTATTTTATCAAAATACATTCATTATAAATAAATTTTTAGCTTTTTACTTATATGCTGTAAATCAGATTTATAAATTTTTTTGAATGAAAATAATAAAATCGAATTTATGGTACGTCATTTTTAATTTTATTAAATTAGAAATGAACGCATACTAAACTTTATACACTGTGATATAATAATATATTATCCAATTGATTCAACTTTAAAAATCTTCATTCTCTTAAAACTTAAGTTGTCCAAGTAAAGTGAATGTCTAGATACGAAACATGGATGGTTATGTTGTGCCTCAGATCGATTCAATTACACTTCGGATATCCATTATCCGGATATCCGGCGGATATTTGGATTCTAAATCCATTATTACAACATCACGAAATAAATTATTAAAAAATTTATCATTATAGATGTTCATTGGCTTAATGTCCAACTGCTAAACCATTTAAATATACAGTCTTTATTTGATCATCCAAAATTATTAATATTTCAAACAACGGATTCAAACTCTACCTCTTAGAAAAAAAAAAAAATTTATATATAAATATTTTTTTTTATTTACATATTCCTATAAAATTCACTTTTTTTTAAAAAAAATATATCAGTAATCATGCAAAATTCGTATCCTGAATACTCCGAATACTCCGAATACCCCGAATACCTGAATACCACCCTCTTGAAGTCACTAATGATCCACCAAACGAAAACGAATCCGTCACTTTCTTAACACATCCATCACTAACTCAACGAATTATTTCTCAACAAAATAATAACCTTTCCATGCATCAAAATCTCCAAATCCTTTCCAATTCTATTAATGCATTTGAAGAAAATATTAATAGACAACTTCAACAAAGTTAATGAACTTAAAAGGTTATTAAATCAGATAAACCAATTTATTAACGCGCAACAACAATAACTACCACCACAACAACCTTCTATGTCTATTCGTTATGCTACGCCAACTTACCGTCATGAATGTTTTACTAATATTACCGAACAACTCGCTTCACCGAATATTCTTCCTTGTCAACAAACAAACGTTCCTACTGAGACAATTGATAATGAAATTTTCTCCCGATATTATGGATGGAGTACTATCACAGGAATATTATTTTATTTAAAATCATTTCTAATAAAATTACTATAGAATTTGTTCTTTATTTTTTTTTCTTATTTCATTTTTATACTTTATATACTTTATAAATATTTGATAAAAATTTTGACAAATGACAAGGAAAATAAGACGTGAACAAGAAAAATATTAGCAAAAATTAAGAATTTGGATTGAAATGGTTACAACCGCATCTCGATATAACGAACTCGCATTTTCATAACACGTGATATTTAACCAGTAAATACTCCATATATCGTTATAATGAATTATTAACTAACTAAAACTGACGCGGAACGACTCCTATTTTGTACATATATATCTATCTATATATACTGTATATATAGGTAGATAGATATATGGGGTTAGGCAGATACTTATCTATTAGAATAGTCTAGTTACTTAGTAATTTAGCGTCTTCTTATTTGTACTCTCCTCTGTTCTCGTCGGTATAATAAAAATAAAATTAACCATCTAAACTTTAAATTCTTTTATATAATCTTATAACGAATTTGAGGTGAAAACCAAAGGAGTTTGTTATATTGAGAGCTGATTGCACGTTGAGATTATGTTGCCCTGTAAAAAAAGTCAATCCGTTTTTTATATTCCATTTTTTTTCCGTAAAGGGCTCATATTTCCGGAATTAATAACCTTATATCGCGGAATTTATCGAATTATTTACATTTTCCGTGAATGGATCCGTGAACTCATTTTTGTAGAGTTTTTACAGAAATAACGGATAAAATTTTTATAGGGTTGCAGAAGCCTACATTAATAACCCTATATGACATCTTTAATTGCGTCAAATGATAGGAATTTTTTATTTTTAATTGACATAAAGTAAAAAAATTTAAAACTCATTGTATTCAATCAAAAAATTAAATTTTATTATAATATCGTCTTTTTCCTTTTTCATTTATGGGGTCATTACCTGCGGAAATCAGTCAGTATGTAAAAACGCTCATCTCCTTATGACAAAACCTCATATGAACAGACCAAAAAGAAATATCACCTTCGTTCAAACAAACAAAAACGTTCTTCTGCCGATGTAAAATTAATTATGATTAAATTATAATAAATTGTTACAATTACCCGAACTACGGTAAATGTTGCGTTTAACAAAGCATCAAACAGGTTTTTATCTCACAAATCTTTACTAAAGTACATATTAACATATGTCATTAGTAAACTATAATGTGGGCCAAAATCTATATTTTGCTCGCAACAACCATCACTACCACAACAAACTTCTATGCCTCGTCATATATACCAAAACCATGTCCCCAGATCTCATCCTTATTTGAATAAACGCCTTTTAGTTTCTTCTCGTACACCAACCATTCGTTATGCTACGTCAACTTTATACCGCCATGAATGTTTTACTAATATTACCGAACAACTCGCTTTCACCGAATATTCTTCCTTGTCAATAAACAAACGTTCCTACTGAGACAATTGATAATGAAATTTTCTCCTGATATACATCTGCGGGATGGATGGAGTACTATCACAGGAATATTATTTAAAATCATTTCTAATAAAATTACTATAGAGTTTGTTCTTTATTTTTTTTTTCTTATTTCATTTTTATACTTTATAAATATTTGATAAAAATTTTGACAAAAGATAAAGAAAATAAGACGTGAACAAGAAATATATTAGCAAAAATTAAGATTTTGGATTGAAATGGTTACAACTGCATCTCGATATAACGAATTCGCATTTTCATAACACACGATATTTAACCAATAAATACTCCATATATCGTTATAATGAATTATATTATTAACTAACTAAAACTGACGGCGGAATGACTCCTATTTTGTATATATATCTCTATATATACTGTATATATAGGTAGATAGATACATGGGGTTAGACAGATACTTATCTATTAGAATAGTCTAGTTACTTAGTAATTTAGCGTCTTTTTATATTCTCTTCTGTTCTCGTCGGTCTAATAAAAATAAAATTAACCAACTAAACTTTAAATTCTTTTATATAATCTTATAACGAATTTGAGGTGAAAACCAAAGGAGTTTGTTATATTGAGAGCTGACTGCACGTTAAGATTATGTTGCAGAAGGACATCTCTAATTGCGTCAAATGATGGAATTTTTTTTAATTGACAAAGTAAAAAAATTTAAAATTCATTGTATTCAATCAAAAAATTAAATATCGTCTTTATTTTGTTAGTTTACGTCTCATATTTCACCATTTATGGTGTCATTACCTGCGGAAATTATGAGTTTTGGTAAAACTTGTAAACTTGTATACAGACAGCCTATTACAGTATACAAATTATATGGCTTTATAATACAGTCTGGTGCAAAAGTCTTTGGACAATAATCGGCAAAATTAAAAGTCACACAGATCGGCCAATTTAAACCCAAATCAAGTTAAACTTTGTACATCATTCATACTACCTAATTACCATCTTAATTGCTAAGCCACACTTAAAAAAAAAAAATTTTTTTTCATTACAACAAAGAAATGAATAGTAATGCGAGTGCACAGGCCCAATCTATCTTACATTTATGGAATATCGGTATTAGAACAGCTGCCAAAATACAACGTAGGACAAACATAGCAAGGTCCACAATATATTATAACTTGAATAAGTTAAAAAAAACTGGGGATACCAATTGTACTAGTACAGTACTAGTACAGTATAGTACAGTACTAAGTACTGTACTTGTACTTGAAAATTTAGTACAAATACAATTTTAGTACATACTATTAATAAATTTTATTGGTTAATTTTATAAATATAAACAATATTGATCACATGATATCTACCTAAAATGGTTAAATTATATCCTAAAAAGTAATAATTGTATTAGTACAGTGTACTTAGTACTTGTACTAAATTTTTGCTAGTACAGTACGTACTAGAATTTTGCTAGTACAGGTGTACTACCACAACCCTGCACTAGGTCATCCCAAAAAGATCACTTCGCAAAATTCAA